GGAGGTCAGTGTGACTTCCACTCACTCCTCCGCCATCTTGATTCTTGTTTCTGAGTTTTAAATACAACATTATTAATATTCTAAAAGACAGTGTTAATTTATATGAACCCATGGTTACCAAATGATTTTTTCAGCTTTCCCATTTTTTTCTATTACATTGGTCAAAATGTATATTGTTTTTTTCCCATAAGCTGGACAGCTTTAGTACCACTTAGTTATCTTTAATTTCATTCAAAACAATTTTGTTCAATTATATTGTGACAGCTGTCATATCAGCATGCATTTTTAAAAACATTAAAATTGGTAAATATCTGTGTAGCAATTGGTAAATATCTGTGAAGATGAAAGAAAATGAGCAACATTTTCAGCATATTAGGCCTTATTATTTCCAGAAAGGTAAAAATGCAACTGAAACACAAAAAAGATTTGTGTACTGTATAGAGAAGGTGCTGTGACTGACTGAATGTGTCAAAAGTAGTTTGCAAAGTTTCATGCTGAAGATTTTTTGCTGGACGATGTTCCACAGTCAGATAGACCAGTTGAAGTTGTGAGTGACCAAATCAAGATATTAACTGAGAATAATCAATGTTACACCACTCAGCAGAAAACCAACATACTCAAAATATCGAAATCAAGCATTGAAAATCATTTGCTCAAGCTTGGTTATGTTAATCGCTTGGATGTTTGGGTTCCACATAAATTAAGCAAAAACTTCTTGACTATTTCTGCATGTGATTTTCTACTTACATATAACTAAAATGCTCTGTTTTTAAAACAAATTGTGACAGCTGATGAAAAGGGGATACTTTACAACAATGTGGAATAGAAGAGATCATGGGGAAAGCCAAATTAATCATCACCAACCACACCAAAGGCCAGTCTTCATCCAAAAAAGGTGATGTTGGATATATGGTGGGATTGGAAGAGAGTCCTCTATCATGAATTCCTTCCTGAAAACCAAGTAATTACAGTAACTACAGTTCCAAATTACACTAACTGAAAGCAGCACTCAACAAAAAGCATCCAGAATAAGTCAACAGAAAACATAATCTTCCATCAGGGTAACACAAGACTGCATGTTTCTTTGATGACCAAGCAAAAATGGTTACAACTTGGCTGGGAAATTGATTCATCTGCTGTATTCGCCAGACATTGCACCTTTAGATTTCCATTTATTTCGGATTTACAAAATTCTCTTAAAGGAAAAAATCTCAACCCCCTGGAAGATGGAAAAAGGCACATAGAAGAATTCTTTGCTCAAAAAGATAAAAATGTTTGGGATTCAAGGCTGGTTGTATTAGAGACTTACAGCTAAGATGGAGACATAGGTAGATGCACTTTGCTTTCTCGCACAACTTAAAAGATAACAACTTTAAAAAAAAACAACCAGAACTGCCAGAAAACCAAACTGTATGGAAGTCTGACAACGAAGGAATTAAAGAAGAAACATTCATCCAGACTGGGAGGAGGGGTGGAGATGGGCAGCCCAGGGTGAAGAGGATTCACCACACAGAAGCTGACTAGGTGGCCAAGTCGGTGGCTGGCAGACCCAGTAGTCCCACATTTGCATGCGGATAAGTCAGAAGGAGCAAATGGGGAGCAAGACAGGCATTGCAACACAAGGTTCCAGTGTGGGAAAATGAGGCCTCAAAACCTCTGGCTGTAAAAACCTGTTGGGGTTGTAGTGGCAGGAGAAACTCCCAGCCTCACAGGAATGTTCATTGGAGAGATCCATGGGGTCCTAGAATGTACACAGACCCACCCATCTAGGAATCAGCACCTGAAAGGCACAATCCACTTGTGGGAGGTGAGGAAAGTGATGGAAAGTGGGGCAAGAGCCAAACAAGTAGCATTGTTCCTTCTCTGAGCCCTCCCCAACAGACAGCACCACAACACAGGAAAGAGAGTTGCCCCACCCTGGCAAATTCTTAAGGCTCCACCCCTTACAATGTAACAGGTGCACTGAGACAAAGAAATATGGCCAAGGAACTCAGAAATATGGAGTTATCTGAGATCAAAACTCCAGAAAAACAACTAAGCAACCAGGAGATAGACAACCTATCAGATGCAGAGTTCAAAACACTGGTAATCAGGATGCTCACAGAAATGACTGAGTATGGACACAAAATAAAGGAAGAAGTGAAGGCTATGCAAAGTGAAATAAAGAAAAATATACAGGGAACCAACAGTAAAGGGAAGGAAACAAGGACTCAAAATAACAATTTAGAACAGAAGGAAGAAATTGACATTCAACCAAAATAGAATGAAGAAACAAGAATTCAAAAAATGAGGAGAGGCTTAGGAACCTCTGGGACAACTTTAAACAATCCAACATCCAAATCATAGGGGTGCCAAAAGGAGAAGAGAAAGAGCAAGAAATTGAGAACTTATTTGAAAAAATAATGAAGGAAAAAGACTTCCCCAATCTAGCAAAGGAAATAGACTTCCAGGAAGTCCAAGAAGCTCAGAGTCTCAAAGAAATTGGACCCAATGAGGGACATACCAAGACACATCATAACTAAATTACCCAAGATTAAAGATAAGGGGGAAATCTTAAAAACAGCAAGAGAAAAGGAGAGAATTACCTACAAAGGAGTTCCCATAAGACTATCAGCTGATTTTTCAAAAGCAACTTTGCAGGCAAGAAGGGACTGGAAAGTTTTTAAAGTCATGAAAAGCAAGGATTACTCTCTCCAGCAAAGCTATCATTTAGAATGGAAGGGCAATTAAAGTGCTTCCTAGGTAAGGTGAAGTTAAAGGAATTCATCATCACCAAGCCCTTATTATATGAAATGTCAAAGGGACTTATCTAAGAAAAAGATGATGATCAAAACTATGAACAGTAAAGTGAAAACAAACTCACAACTATCAACTGAACCTAAAAAACAAAAACAAACTAAACAAACTAGAACAGGGACAGAATCTCAGAAATGAAGATCACATGGAGGGTTATCAGCGGGGAAGGGGAGAGGGGATAATAGGGGGGAAGGTACAGAGAATAAGAAGCATAATTGGTAGGTACAAAGTAGACAAGGAAAGGTTAAGAATAATATAGGAAATGGAGAAGCCAAAGAACTTGTGTGTATGACCCACAGACATGAACTAAGGGGTGGGGGGAATGCTGGTGGGAGGGGCAGTGCAGGGCAAAGAGTGATAATGGAGAGAAAAAATGGGACGACCGTAATAACATAATCAATAAAATATACTTAAAAATAAGTTTAAAAAATTCAGATGGTTGTAATGTCCAGCTTTCAAGAATAGTTATTAGAGCATCATTTAGATTGTCTTCCAGAAATTTCATTTGTTTTCTTAATAGCTGCTGGTCTTGCTTTTAATTTATAAATGTGGTTAGTTTAGGTTCAATGTGGGTTAACCTTATGTTAGATCCTTTCCTGTAACTATAACAACAGTAGTATGGGCCTCTTATGTTCCAATAATTAAGACTTTAAGCCATACATACACTGCAATTCAAACACATAATTTTATCACTAAGAGACATGAGGGGAAGCTTCTCACCCACATTTTACAGTGGTTCAAGGTTCTTTTTCCACCAAATAGTGGGAACATGTCAGCTAATGGAAATTATGAGGTCCTGGTCGCTTTGCGGAGGCGTCGTCTGCAGTCCACGTGCCACGTTATGCTGGATGTGCATGTCTCACATGTCCGGAACTTGTTTCCAGCTTATCCTACCGCTGCACCAGGTTCTGCCCCCTTAAAGCCCTTGGCGACCAGTACATAAAGGACGAATTTAGGGAGACATAGGTCAGCAGTGCTGTGGCCAACAAGCTAACGAATACAAAAATTCAACTGAAAAAGGGTGTTTTGGAATTGCCCTACCAGAAGAGAAACTTAATGACTTTTGTGATGAACAAATAAGACAGCTACAGGATCTGACACAAGAAGCCACTCGACCCAATCCCAATCGGCAATTTAGTATTAGTCTAGAAAACAAGAATTTTATTTAGTCTATACAATAAAGCAAAATGAAAGAAGGGGAGGGGAGGAGAAGGAATGCTTCATCTAAATATGCTTCAGCCCCCCCGAGTTGGAGAACCACTACCTCCAGTAAGCTCTTCCCCCGCCCCCGGTTCCTGGACCCCTATGCCTAACCAAGACAATCTCTGAATTTAGTGTGATATCCCAAAGCTGGTTTGCAGCTGTCCCCCTTACAGCAATCTTATCTTCTGAAGCATGGTCTACCACCTTTTCCCAGATGATCCATTCCCTTTTGTGCCACCTCTGCTGAGAGGGATGTGGCAGTGCCCTCCAGCCACAACAGGACATTGCAGAAGACAATACAGGACGTAAGACACCAGGCTCACACATGCAATGCATGGACAAAGCTTTTGTTCTAGCACAGATTTCAAGGGAGGTCTCACTAGTTTGACAAAGCCTGAAACCTATGAGTCATGCTGTCAGAAGCCAAGGGTAAAAGTGACAATAGTGCCAAGCCCTACCAAAGGCAAACTCCTACAACATGCTATGCACAACAGAGACAGGGAAGGTATTCTGGGCAAGAGCGATGGAAAATTATGGCAAAATCAATATGAGAGTCAGGACAATGGGTAGGAGCTTTCAAGTCAGGTAGTCTGAGTATGAACCCCCCTCAGCTGTGGAGTCTTGAGCACATCTGGCCTAGAGGAGGCACCAGCAGATACTTGCTGGATGAATGAATGAAACCCTGTGAACCCATTTCCTCCTCCACAAAACCAATGATGTAATTCCTACCCTACAGAATGAAGAATAAGGTAAGAAAATATAGTGCTAAGAAAAAAGGGTGTTAAGATGTAGTAGGCTGAGCATGTGTTCAAAAACCAGTTCTGCCTAAACTAGCAATAACATTTCCACAGCAGAAACAGGATTCTGTCTAGTGCCAGGCTGGGAGGGAGGTGAGGGCAGGGGCCGGGGCAGGGCCAGGCACTGAAGCGAGGCAAAGCCTGGGAGAAGCCAGTTCCTGGTGGCTGTTGGGCCGCTCAAGACAGCTCTCTGCCTTACCCGCCATGGCCCTCCTTCTAACCTGGCTCTCTCGATGTTGCAGCCGCCTCCTTCTGCCTTCCTGGCCCCTGGCCCCTGAGGGATCCCAAAGGTGCTGTTCCCAGAGCCCCGAGGCAAGCACGAAAGACCAGACCAGCACCACAGACAGTGGGAAGATGAGGTCTCCCACCACGGTAAGTGGCACCAGGAGCAGGAGTGGAAAGCATGAGGGGAGATTTGGGGTGGGGGCCTCAATGTCATCCAGCCCCACAGGCCTGAGGGCAGATACCAACCCAGATCCCTGGAGTTGGTTGCCTAGTTCCAACTCCCAGCCCCCAACCAGGTCCCCCACCCCCAACCTGCTAGACCTCAGAGCTCACTCTCACAAGAGCAGGAATTTACCCTCATCTATCAGTTAATTATTTCTGGTGGTGGAGGGGGAGGGGCAGGGGCAGGCAGTCCTTTCCCTCCTTGTACAATGAGTCCAGTTACAGCCCCTAGGCCAGTGATCTCTATCTGCCCAACCCCTTCCTGAGAGGTCTATGCCTAAGTAGGAAGCTACCCTCAAATAGGTCAAAACCTGAAGACGAGTTCCTGACTCCCAGCCAACCTCAGCTCCCTGCCCTGGCTAAGACTCTCCCCCTCACATCCCCTCCCCCAGGGTCCCAGGCACACAGGTGAGCTGGCCCAGGCTGAGGAGCTGCTGGAGCAGCAGCTGGAGCTGTACCAGGCCCTGCTGGAAGGGCAAGAGGGGGCCTGGGAGGCACAGGCCCTGGTGCTCAAGATCCAGAAGCTGAAAGAGCAGATGAGGAGACACCGAGAGAGCCTGGGAAGAGAAACCTAAGCTTCCCACCAGTTTCCACTTCACCCTCCAACACTGGAAACACTGCACACTACCTGCAACCCGAGAGCTTTGGTTAGAAAAGTACCAGCCTCTCCCAGGCCACTAAGAAACACAGACGACACCTCCACAGAGGGCCGTAAGTTGGAAAGCAGTGGGGGAACCATGACCTCTGCAGTCTTTTAGGCCACATCCCCCACTATGCCCCTTCCCACTGACAACCTCAGCCCCACATAAATAACCTAAACCCACCTCATCCCAAATCCAATAAAAGGAAAGAGTGCTTACAGACACAATAGACACATGTGTTTTTTAGTTTTGTTTAAAAAAAAGTTCTGACAAATAAATGGGGATTTAGAAGGGGTGATGCAAAAGAGGGAAGGCATGGGGTGGGGTTGGGGGTTGTCAGGGGTAGGTGGCAGTAGTGTCTCCTTCACCCCCACACCTGGTGTCATCTCTTGAAGGGGGACAGACTGTCACGTTCCAGAAGAGGTGGATGAGTCCTCTATCGTGTCTGTTCAACTGAAAAGAAAACATGGCAGTTACAATAAGACATGAAACAGAAAAAGTGAGGTTGGCAGAAATACACACACACCCATATATGCAGATGTCTGTGAGGTGTCTGGGTCCAAAGGGCAGACTTGGGGGTGGGGAAGAATTTTATGAGAGAAAAGATCCCACATAGAGGTCAATTAAACCACCAACCTGGAAGATGTCCATTATGTACTAGGGTTTTACGTACATAACGGAATTCAAGACACACACACTAACAGGGAGAATCACAAAGGCTGGAAAAGCCAACTGCCGTGATCAATACTTACTGTAGGAGGAGATGTCTATCTCATCAGGCAGCTCACTAATATTGACCTCAAAGCGATCCTGCACATCATTGAGGATCTTGGCATCATTCTCATCTGACACAAAGGTGATTGCCAAACCCTTGGTGCCAAACCGGCCTGCTCTGGCCACCTGGAAGGAAAGAGGCAGTACTGGAAAACCCCAAAGAAGAAAACATCTAGAGGGAGAGATAAAGATGTACACTGTGAGGATACAGAAAATAGTGCAAGTGGGAGGTCACCAAATATCCTTGCAGGTGTGGGGCATACCCGATGCAGGTAGGTGTCAGAATCTTCAGGCATGTCATAGTTAAAAGCAATGTTCACCCGTTCAATGTCCATGCCTCGGCCAAATAGGTTGGTAGCCACAAGAATTCGTCGCTGAAAATCTTTAAACTGCTGATACCGAGAAAGCCTTTTGTAAGACAAAAAATTAGGAAAATGTTGAGTCCCTTCAATAGTCTCTTTTTCTTCCAAAGACACGTAAGATCTTCTGCATATCCAACTCACCTCTCCTCCTGGGGCATCCCACGGTGGATGGCAATGGCTGGGAAGTTCTGCTCCACCAGGAGCTGGGCCAGGGCAATGCAGCGCTGCACAGACTTCACAAAGATCACGACCTGTGTGTGTGTGTGTTTGTGTGTGTGCAGGGATGTGGGTCCATGCATGTGTGAGATTGTATGAAAAAGGAGTCTTCAGTAATTATTCTTGTAAAGGAATTCTTCTCAGTTCCTATCAAGCATTTTCTATTCTGCTATAAATAAAACTGTATCCTAATCCTAGATCATTTTTAGTGCAAATAAGCCATGACTAACAGGTAAAGTGATGAAATGCTTCTCTTCAATAAATAGTACAAAAAGAAGAAATTTAAGAATGTAACAGAATCAAGGTATTTTGGGACTTCTACGACCTGATTAAAAAATCCTTCATGGATTTTATGAGTTTAATTATTGAGGTTATTTATTGACTACCTGTCTGTGCCAGCAATGGAACAGAAAAGCAGTTAGCACTCTGCTCATACTCGGCTCCAAGATATTTATGTTCTCATTTTTAGAAACTTCACTTATTTCTCTGCCCTTCTCTCACATCACATACGTGGTTTTCTTAGTAACAGGGTACTAAATGCAGATTTCTGTTACATTTGGAGATGTGCTCATCTTCCTACTGGACCTTGAACTAACTGACCTGGTTGAACTCAAGGACATCCAGAAGGTCAAAGAGCTTCCGGTTCTTCTCGTTGTCCTTCAGTTTCACGTAGTACTGCTGCAACCCATGCAGCGTCAGCTTCGTCTCATCATCCACGAAGATCTCCATTGGCTGAGGGGGAGGGGGAAGGAAGGGGTAGGGAACGGGAGGGCAGAGCGGGGGGGTTAAACCTGGGGGGGGTGGAGGAAGCTGATCTCCAATACACCCCATGGGGGGATGGGGAGAAGAGAGAAGACAGAAAACCTCATCCCACCCTCACAAACACCCACATTTTAATATGCTCTCTTCCATCTTAGACCTAATTTCCTTCCTATCAGTGAAGTTACCACACTGAAAACTGTCATGAGAAAGTACTTTGCAAGGAGAAAAAGGAATAGAGAAAGCGCCCAATGGCAAGATGCCATTACCACAAATGGAGGTGAAGGAAAAAACAATAGAAGACTCTCAAAGGGAGACTTATGATCCAAACACCTGGGAAATGATGGGAAACACTGACTCAAGGTCAGAATAATTCCATCAGAGCAAGTATAAGAATATGGGGAAAAGGATATGGACTTCTCCATTAGAATACTTTCTCCATTAGAATATTCTCTCAAGGAAAATCACATCCATGTTAAGATGGAATGCTACAATAGACATAATCAAGATGTCATAAAAGCAGCAGCAAAAATTACTCAAGGTGAGCAACAACTTGCCCTCAACCACAGTGTAAAAGTTCTAGGCGAGACTGGTCTCTGAGCTAAGAATCAAACCACCTACAGTATTACATGGAAGGTACCAGTAAGTGATACTAAGAAATTCAGAGCTGCAGATACGCAGGTTATCTCTCTAAAAAAACCGACACACACAACCCTTAAAGGGAAGGAAGGTACCATTAGAAAGAAATTGACACAAAACCCAACTTCAGAGCCCAAATTTCCTAGCACTCTTCACTAACTCGGGAACATCGTTAACATCAAGATCCAGGGTCCAAGATTTTGGGAAAGGATGTGTGTGTCACAGGAGACACCAAGAAGCTGATTGCAGAAGGCAGGCTAGCCAAGGGAAGACTTTCCAAAATCAAGTTCCACAGCCTCCTTCATATCTAATTGTAGCCCCAAGTCCAGCTACAGACAAGGAGTTATCACCTGACAGGAAGGAGCAGAGCAGTAAGGTAAACAACATGCTCCACTGCTCATACAACAGGCCGCCTAGTCCCAGTCCCTAACCCACCTGGTTACATCAAGTGGAGCACCTCACTTTACCTTTCCTACACCCCTCTCCCCTGAATATGAAATAAAAGAAAAAAAAAACCTACCACCCCATTCAGGACACCCTTCCCCACCCCAACACATAAGGGAGAAACGAGGAGCACGGCACGCCTTGGGTTCAGGAAAAAAACCGGGAACGGAAAAAGAGGCTGGCTGGTCCTCAGCTTGCTGGTCAGGTTTCCCTGCAGCCTCCACTGCCGCCATCCACCGCTGGGTGCCGTCCAAATTCTCCCGCCGTGCCACGATGCTTCTTTCTGCTGCCAGCTCACGTCAACCGAGGTTCCGTGTGGGTGTGAGGTATGCGTGGGAAGGAGTAGGGGATGGGGACTGAGGTGCCAAAGGCCCCCACCCCTGGAGGTGGGGAGGGAGCGCATTCATTTGTGCTCTTTGCTCTTCTTTTAGACATGCCCTGCCATCTGTCCCTCTCTCACTCTCCTGCCACCGGGAGGTTATGAGTTTTGGGGAGCAGAAGGCTCCAGCTGTATGCGCGATGTCACTTTGAGGGTGCATGGCTGTAGGGGTTATGTAGGAGACGATGGGTAGGTGGTAGGGCAGATAATCCTGCCCTTACCCAAAAGGGAGAAGAGGTTCAAAAATGTTGTAATTTTTCTTAAAAATGTCGAACACTACCCGCTCTCAAGTTAACCCGACCAAGTCTTCCGGAATTTCCCTGGCGCCCGCGCAGACCCTAACACTAGCTATTTCTGCCTCTGTGTATGTCTTCAAAGAGTCGTCACTCCCAGATAGGCTCGTGCCCCCTTCTTAGCACTTGCAGGACAAGGGAGTCTGGAGGAAGAGGGCACGGACGGGGAGGAGGCAGTGGGCAGGGAGTGGAAGAAGAGAAGGTAGAAGGGTATTTACGTCTTGCATGAACTTGCGGCAGACTGGACGGATCTCTTTGCTCAAGGTAGCACTGAACATCATGACCTGCTTCTCATGGGGGGTCATGCGAAAAATTTCCTGGACATCCCGACGCATGTCTAGAGGAAAAAGGGAACAGGCTCATAGGAGAAAAGCAGCTTGTGTCATAAAGACCAGAGATAGACTTCCCAATGAAGTCAAGGCTGCTGGAAATACGTATGCAAGAGTTAATTCAAGGAAAGATTTGCTCTAGGTCTCTCTCTACTCTATTTTCTCCACCCTCATGAAATCACTCCATAGTAATAATACAATAGAAAGAGCAATGAATTTGGAATAAAGATTTGGGATCAGATTCCAGCTCTGTCTACTTTATCCAGCCAAGAAATACAATGTAACTCCAAAGCCCACACTATGAAACAGAGACCGAGCCCACCCTAGAGGGACCCAAGAATAAGACCTTTGAAAAACACTTTACACGTCCATTCTCCTTACTGTTCTCCCCCCAAACCCCAGCTACCAACAAATACTGCACACCTATTACATTCCAGCTATGCTTGTTCTGGATCACCCTTTCCTATCCAGCATCAAGGCTGCTCAAAAAGCCTAACAAAGACCAACCCAGGAAGCCAGAGCCATCAATGATGGGTGACAGATAAAGCTGTCCTGGCACTAAAGTGCTCCTGTTACCAGATTAATATCATTTGGCTCCAAGGGCAACTCGCAGATCACTAGCCCAGTCCCAGCACTCTCACTCACCGAGCTGTTCAAGCATCTTATCACATTCATCCAAGATAAAGTGTTTAATATGTTTGAGGTTGAGGCTCTTATTTCGAGCAAGGGCGAGGATGCGGCCAGGGGTCCCCACGACAATATGCGGGCAGTTCTTCTTCAGCACCTCTTCATCCTTCTTGATAGATAGACCACCAAAAAACACCGCGACCTGCAAACCCAGAAGAGTATATCACAATGAAGCAATTGTGGGTCCTAGTACAGTATAACACCATTAAGTTGCTTTCTAGTTTGTTTGTTTTTGGGGGGGGGTTGTAATCAATTAGGGGATAAGACAGACTATCAGGACCCTAATTCCACAGTAAATCTAAAATTACTAATTATGGGACATCCAGTTTTACAACAAAAGGGGAAGTACACAGCATCACCTATTTAGAATTCTTGCCAAAAATGTTGAATTAGTTTAGCTTTCAAATATCAACTTCAGCTGGAAAAAAGTACAAGCTAAACAATACCATAAAGGAATAACCAAATGAATACAGAGATAGGACATTATACAGAGCTGACCCAGCTTCTTCAGGTCACTACAGCATAACGTTAAACAAAAGAAAATGTAATGACAATTTGTATTTGACTCTGACAGCAAGAACATTGTCACAAAGGTGATGAGCTGGACCTACAGAGGAGGAAATGCAATCCTAGCTCACCACAGAGATCAACAATAAATTATTTCCATAGTCTTAACAATGGAAACACTTTTCTGGCTTCCAAGTTTTAGAATCAACCTAGACAAGGCTGCTTGCAGAAAGGACAAATAGTTAAACATTGCTGATAGTGTAAAAACAGAAGTATACATAAATAGACACTTAACGAGTATATATAGCATTCAGATCATATTTAGAAAATTTAAATTGTTTCAAAAAGACCACCACAAAGGAGCTAGTCAAAAAAGCCTGTAAGTTGATAAATTTGAGGAAACAGTGCCTAATGACTGCCTTCACAGAACCATTATAACTTTTTTAAAAAGTTAGCAAGTGATTATCTTCAGTGAAGTACAGTTACAGACGGGCAAACACAAATCTTTTCATTATAAGACCTTCCAGACTACAAAGCATTTTTACCCTGCAGGTATTACTACCACTACTTCAGTCTTTTTAAAACTTATTTTAAAAATAAAACAAAGAATAATTTTAACAATCTGAACGAAGGTACTGCTATTCTTCACACCCTTCTAGCCAGGACAGTAGGAAATCATATGTATCAAGTTTACACAAAGGAGAACAACTCAAGCCAACTTTGTTGTGGCCCCCAGACATCTTCCCATTTTCTGCCACTTTAAAGATTCTCAGCCCTGACTGGTGTGGCTCAGTGGATTGAGTGCCGGCCCACAAACTGAAAGGCCACTGGTTCAATTCCCGGTCAGGGTACATGCCTGGGTTCTGGGCCAGGTTCCCAGCTGGGGGCATGCAAGAGGCAACCAATCACACATTGATGTTTCTCTCACTCTCTTCCTCCCTCCCTTCCCCTCTCTCTAAAAGTAAATAAAATCTTTAAAAAAAAAACAACACCCTCAAAATTCACATCTCACTAGAGCCATTTTAGAGTTTCTAGCCTTCTCTTGCCATATACCCCCACTTCTCAAACTGTCAACCAAAGCACACTAAAATGATTCAAAGTGTCAGCATAAAAAAGCAATAAGCAGAAGGATGGACCTGTGGTAAGTATCCTCTATAGCCCAATCACCCAGTCTCCTGCTGCACAAGTATATTTGTATGTGTTAAAAACCAAGGAAAACTAAAACTTCTCCAAAATTAAAATATAGCAAGCATCTCTGAAGTTATAATGCAAACCCAAATAAGCCCTAAAATATAAATCTCTTGTATATCAAAGTCTGCAAGAACTTACTATCTATTAGATGTAACTGAGGTTCACGTATAGGCATTTAATGTCTGCGGAACCTTCATGAAGAAAGCTGGTCTCTAAATCTCTAATGCCTCCAATTCCCTACACCCTCACACTCCCAGGTTTCTTTACCTTGGCTTACCTTGACATTGGGCATGTATTTAGAGAAGCGCTCATACTCCTTGCTGATCTGAAAAGCCAGCTCCCGAGTGTGACACATCACCAACACAGACACCTTGGGGGGGGCGGTAAATAGACGGAAAAATAGTATATCCTTTCACTAACCCTCGGGGGAAGTGACTGTCACAAAAGCATACTTGGTAGAACATAAACAACTTCAATTCTGAGATCTAAATCATTAACCCCATGATTACTACAAAATATTCCCCATGGCCTCAAGGGTGACAGAGGTCATCTTAGCAACAAGCACTCACTGTTCTGAATGCATCATGTGGTTAAGATAAAAACACCCTGCTCAGCCCTGGCCAGGTGGCTCAGTTGGTTGGAGGATCGTCCTGAACACCAAATTTTGGTTGGGTGTTCACCCTTGTTTGGGGCACATTTGGGAGGCAACCAATGTTTCTCTGTTTCTCTCCCCGCCCCTCGCCCCCTGCAACCAATACCCCAACTGTCTCCCTCTCTAAAATCAATAAACATAGTCTCAGGTGAAGATTTAAAAAAAAAAAAAGAAAAACCCACCCTGCCCACATATTCCTAAGCAAAATACTCTCCCCAGCTGTACCTGCCCAGTAACTGGCTCCAGCTGCTGCAATGTGGCCAGCACAAACACTGCCGTCTTTCCCATGCCTGACTTGGCCTGGCATAGGACATCCATTCCCAGAATGGCCTGAGGGATGCACTCATGCTGAACTAAAAGCAAAAGAATAAAGATAAATTAGGCTTCAGTCTACAAATATCACTTTTTGCCATGTCAAACCCATTTCTCAACACTCAGTTCTTAAGTAATTCTTGTCAATTTCCAGACCCTTTCTACCTCTCTGCTCCCTCAATCAAATTCATCTGCAAATCTGACCCTTCTAGTTCCTTCCCCCTTTAGCCTCCTCCAGCTCCAACTCCTGGCCCCAGTCCTAACAACCCATTTGCAACAGCTCACCTTTGAAGCTCCTGGCTTTGTCCTTATCTTCCTTCACCTTAAATAATCCATAACATTTGAGTGCCTACCACGGCCATTTCTCCTGCTTAGGTGGCCATCCTTTGGGTCATATAACCCAACTAAATAAAGAAATTGGTACCTGAGCCAGAAGCCAGCCACCTTTAAACCAGCCATAAAGGTTTCCAGAGACCAGAGTTGGCCTGACCCAAAAGAGAACCACAGGTGCAGCCAGCAGCTCTCAAGGAATTTAAAATTACAAGTCAAAGTGATAAAATTAAAAGCTAGCAGACAAGTAAAAAAGGCAGTCACCAGGCCAACAGTAGTCCTTCCTCTAAGGTGTTTTTGGATCACCAGCACTTCCATGATACTATGAATAAAATACCATCCTATATAAACCTCTTCCGATAAAACAGTTTCTGATACTTCATTTCCTGACCTATCCTAAATATAAATCTGTATCACTAAGAGACCATGAACACATCTGTTTCTAGGATCTTTACAGTGCCTAATGAGTACTCTAATCACAAAAGAAAATTTACCTTCTGATGGATGCTCAAAGCCACAGTCAACAATGGCCCGGAGCAACTCTGGCTTGAGCAGGAAGTCCCGAAAGCCAGAGCTATGGATGGAGACATATGAGCCCTTAACATCCTTCTTGGCAGGGGCCTCAGTCCCGTCTCCCCCCGCTGCTGTCTCCACCTCATCATCTTCATAGTCCAAGAGCTCATTGTCCACATCATTCTCTGCCATAACTGGGCGGCAGGCAGATTAGAGGGAAGGGGTCTCTGAATGGGTTCACGTAGGATAAGTGAAAACAAGGAAGGAAAGTGGGGGCTTAAGGAATGGAAGATACACTAGTTTGACAGAAGAGCTAGAAAAAAAAAAGACATCAGTCACAAGCACAGCCTTCAGCATCTCTTTTTCGCATCCCCACACCCTCTTTCCCTAAACTATGAAACCTTTACCTGGAAATAAAAGTAACAAACACTAAACATAAAAGTAATATGGGGAACAGAAAAAGTGGTTTGAAGGGAGGTAGCCAGGTCACAGATTCCCAACAAGATTAAGATCAGAGTAGGAGAAAAAAGGAAGTTGGAAGGGGGAGATCAGCTTATAAACCCACCTGTAAGTTAACAGTAAGGGAAAAGAATAGGTAATGAAAAGCAAAATATGACTAACGGGGTGGAGAATGGAAATAAAATGAAGACAAATCCTGAAAACCCTCAAAAGAAGACCTTGTTGCCCTCTCCCTATAATCTCAAGCTGTCAATCCCTAATGCAGCAGCCATCAGTCAAGGGTGATAGATTAACGTCATCACTGCGCAAAGCGCTCACTTCTCGAAATGAAAACATCATGTGGCTGCCCTTCACCTTCCACAGCCCACCAGCCTCCCACTCAGTGACCTCCACCTCGAGCCTAAGAAATCGCTATGTAAATTAACTAATTCGGGGGGGGGGGGGCCGTTAAGAGAAATGGCTCAGCCGGAAAAAAATATTCGTATCATATAATGAATAAGAAGGTAACTGAGAGGATGGCACTCGGCTTTAATTGAACCTTAACCAAGCGGCCTCACACCACCGCTGCGTTACTCCTCAGATGAGACTCCTTTCCGAAAAGCACACAACGACACCTCTTGAAAACATTTGTAAAGCGTTCTATATAAGGTGGGCCGGTCGAGGTAAAAAAAAGTCCGGCTAGATCCACAGCGGGTTCCCTCGCCTAGTCCCACAGGGGGCCGAGGACCCAAAAATCAGAACGGACGTAAGAGCCCCGCCCTCCGCAAAATGCCCAGGACATAGGACGCCTAGCGCCGCCTCTCACCGTCGCTAGGGCCTCCAATTTACTAAAGGGACCCACTGGAAGAGTCGGGAACGAGGGAACACAATGGCGCCGAGGCCACCATCTTGAATTGAGCCTTTCTAGCTTCCCTCTCTTCCCGCTAGGAGCTCTTTGCGCTCGAAAGGATGCAAGTAATGAAAATAACGACCCAACTAGGCCCCACAGACCAGGCCATAGCCTGTGGAAAGGGTATCGAGAGCCCAAGCTATAGAATGGCTGCTAAGAAACGCAGATGGAAATGGATGGTACTGAAGGCCAAACCTTACCTGAGCAAGGCGAACGCATATGGCGGCAGCAACAGCAACGAAGGAGGCAACCTGACTTCACTTCCGGTTCCCGGTTTTCCCTCGACCCCGGCCTTCCGCCTTCTGGGCTGCTAGCGGGCAGGCGCAAGGGGAGGAAAGGAGGACCTTCCACGAATCTGTAGTTTCGCGCTCTCCGGAGTTGTCTTCAGAAACTGCCTGTCTGAAATATTTTTTTAAAAATCACTTCTAACTACTCCGCTACTGCCAGTGACAAAAGGCATAATGGAAACTAGCATCCCCTCCCACTGATATCTTTTTTTTTCTCTTGTCCTACTCTTCTCCACACCCCTCATTTATGTTCTTGACACGAAGGCCTTCTCTCTGGGCACCCCTTTGTGGCGAGAGACGAAGCTGTCTGGGCTGCGCCTTCCCACGGGGGTCCTAGATTCCGTAGTCAAGGTGACCTGGGGGCTTCGGCACAGCAACTAGGGAAGGTCGACCCCACCTCCGGCGAAAGTGAGCGGTCCTCGGGGGCCCTGTCCTTAACCCCTTCGCAACCATGAGGACTGTGGAATGCTATTTCCCCAAAGTACTGTTGGCCAATGTAGCAGGTACCCTAAGGGGCCCTAAGTGGTGAGTGGGAGAAGGGATCTGGATCGGCTCCAAGTGTTAAAGATAAATGGTAGGGCTTGAAGGTTACACAGCATTTCTTAAGTATTACTAATACGACCAGAAGTTTTTAGCTCCGCCCCCGATAGCCCCTTAGGATTTTTTTTTCTTGAATGGAACATATGATACCTCTCCCCCACCCCCTACCCCGTTTTTAATATGCTAAGGAAGTCAGACTTGGCTGCAGGCTGCAGGCTGCAGGCTGCAGTTCAGAAATGACAGCACACGTTTGGCTCTTCACCTATTACACACCATGTAATACTAAGGCGTGGAGACAATTATTCCCATTCTAGTGACAAGCCCAGACCTAAAGAATAAAGCATCATGTGGAAAGTAATACAGCTAGTAAGGTGACAGAACAAGGATGTAAACACCTCTTTATTGTATCCTGCCTCCCTGCTTAAAGGGTCTAGTTAATAAATGCACTACGGAGTACCTCATTAGTTCAAGTCCTTCAGGAAGCAGGCTTGTTTTCTGTAGCCAAGAGAAATACAGTAAGTGATCCAAGGATGGTGTCGTAGAAGGACAGCTTTTCCAACCCTAAGTATCAACTTATTCAACAGTATTTATCCCAAGTGCTATCCCAGGATCTGAAGACATAGCAGTCAACAGCCCTGTCATCACACAGAGTTCACATAATGGGGGAGACAACACACAAATACATAAATATGTCAAGTAGTAGTAAGTGCTACGAAGAAAAAACAAAGCAAGGTGATAATGGACGAAATGAAATGGAATAAGCACTGCTAATAGAGTCACCTAAAATACAGGCAGAGGCCACTGAGGAAGCAGGGCCTATGCACACCTCGTGTCTCAGTTCTCAGAGCTTCTATAAAGTTGTCAAACTTACTAAACTCAGTTCAAGGCTGAGTCATAAACATCTGAACAACTGCTGCATGGACACAGTGACCTTACCTGTTCCTTGTAGGTTTTGCCTCCTTCATTCGCATATTAGGGCTAGTCAATCCCTAGCCATGAAAGAATTGCACTTTGTGGTTTTTGCCTTTCTAAATCCTGTCTTTGTTTTCTCAGGGAGCAGTTTTAGTAGTTACCTGAATCTGTATCTATGGGAATGGAAGTGCAGTCCTTTTGCTCAAATAAATGCCTTTTGTTCTTATTATAGCCTGGGCGTCTTTGGTTAATGATGGGGCAGAGTGCTTGTTTCTACACCCCACTTTTTCTCTACATTTGCCACCTATAGTCCTCAAGTTCCCAAACCAGGAATCACATGTTTCTCACTTTAGAGAAATAATAACATTATTTGCTATGTTTCTCTAACAAGTTTCAAAAGACAGCCCTTTTGGGTGTTTGGGGAATATGAAAACAAGACACGAGAGAGTAATTGAAAATGAGAAATGATGAAGTAAAAAGATTTTCCCATAGCCCTGGCCGGGTTGCTCATTCGGTTGGAGTATCGTCCTGTTCACCAAAAGTTTTCAGGGTTCAATTCCAAGTCTGGGCACACACCTAGGATGCAGATTCGATCCCCATTCAGGGTGAGTATGGCAGGCAACCAATCAATGTTTCTCTCTCTCCCTTTTTCTCTCTCTAAAATCAATAAACATATGCTCAGGTGAGAATTTTTTTTTTAATTTTTTAGAAAGGGATTTGCCCATAGTCATTTTATTGACAGTTTTTATTGTTACAAAGGAAGACCATGCATACACAGGGACACAGCATCACTTCAGATCTCAGGAAGCAGTGACCATTTGATGGGTCTTTGGGGGAATAAGAAAAAGGAGAAATCCAATAGAGAGACAAAAAAGAGCCTATGAAATGCTTCATCTTTCTGGAACTACAGTAGAGGAGCTAAATAAAATCATTTCATTTTTTTAGGGATCTTAAGTTCTGTGGGAAAAGTGGAAAGAACCAATTCTTCAGAGAATTACTGGGTCACAGAATAAATGACTAGAATTAGAGAGCCACAGATAGATTGAGGAAACAGCTGTATTTAGGTGTTGGCAGGTGGACGGGGTGGCAATAATATCACAGGGTCGCCGTTAATTGAATCCCAGCCACTATATGTCTGTGATTAGGAATCACAGAATGATTCCTAATCATTGCAGCAACCCTGGAAGGTAGACATTATTACTCCAGTCTAGCAGAGGAGGACAGTGAAGCTACAGGCGAAGTAGCTTGCCCTGGTTAAGCAGCCAACAAGTAGCAGGATCCGAAGAGGAATCCAAGCCTGCCAGGTTCTGGAGTCAGGATGTTTTCTACATCACTACGTCTCCATTCTACAAATTTCAGAGGGGTTGGGTAAGGGTGACTTGGGAGTTCACAAGGTCCCAGTGAAAATTAAAGAACAGTAAGGAGATTCAGGTCTGAGCAGGATACCTGTAGTACACAGAATTACTGGGTCCTTCCTCCTAGAATTTCTAAGAAATGGAGAGTAGGATTAGGGTGGAAGGTGATTCTGATTTGGGGATTTCTTTGAGGGTGGGAACTAGCAGGGAAGACAGGCCCCAGGGTTTGTCCTAGGCAGCAATCCGGTAGTTGGAGTGGACCTGGGGCCTGACATCACAGACCATGCCAAGAAGCTGGGCCAGGACACGTTCACGGTTTTTCTGCTGGGAGCTCTGCATGCCCTGCACCTGGCGCCTTGTAGCCTGCTCCACTTCTGCAGACAGGTTCCCCTGAGAGCCCATGGCCTGGGGGGTGGGGAAGGAGTAGAAGAGAGAAAGGAAGAAACAGAAAGAATGGTCCAGGCATGTGGAAAGAAAGATCCTAGAGCAAGGCCAGGAAAAAAGGCCCTCTCCAAAACCACCACATCCCACGGAAATACCCACAGACTAAAGAGAGCAACACGATCCCCTTTCCTCCAAAAGCTGACATGTAACTTCATCCTAAAACAGACTGTACAATCCCCACCTTACCACCCATGACCACTAAAATCTGCCCTCCACCTCAAACGTCATCATACTTCACACACTGGCAGTTCCCCCACAAGCTGTACAAGTCCTTCAAATGCCCAAATTCTCATACAACAAAGCTTGACCAATGTCGTGATCCCCACCAGATCCCCTTCTGTCCTTTACCATTTTCTTGTAGAATCACCCTGTATACACCTCACCAGATGCACCCACCAACTTACACCCCAGGGTGCCTTCCCAACTCTCCTCAGACTCACGGCCTGCTGCCTGCTCTGGAATTCCTGCTCTCGCTCCCGGCGGTATTGTTCCACTTCCATCTGTGCCTCCTCCTTTGCCTGCTTCAGACGCCGGGCCTTCCCTGGTAGCCAAAGAAAGGACAGGGGATCAGGATGAGGCTTACACAAAATGTGATAGTAGGAGGTCAGTCCTTTCTAGGACGTTTATTCTGCCATCTCTCAGCCAACCAGGTGCTAGATTCTAACACTCACCCATTTCTTCCCTCCTAATCAATCACCCCAGCTTTCAGCTCCCCCCACAGCCCCCCCCCCCCCCCCCCCCCAGGCTTGGGTTTTCCTAAGGACTGAAATGTTTGCTGTCAACCCATCCCCAGTTTCCTTTCCAGCCTCCTAAGGGAGGAAGAAGACTCACTCTTCCTGGCATCTGCGACCTTCTCAGCCGCTCGTTTCTCTGCTTGCAGAAGCTGCTGGATACCCTGGGATTGACTGGCCATTTCTGTCGTTACGGCTGATTCTGTTTAGGATGCTACCAAGGTACCAAATGGCTCCCGCCGCACACTCCACCTCCTGCTTCTCCTCCTCCTCCAGCTCGTTGCTGCAGTCCTCCACTATCCCTGGGTCTTAGTGCTCCCCTTTTCGCTCAGCCTCCTGCACCGGCTATCTCCCCAAAACTGATCCCCCAATGGTGGCGGGTCTTCCTCTCCCACGTCTCACTCTGGCACTACCCAGAAGGAACGCTCGGGGGCAGCAGAGACCAGACCCAAAGCTACCCACTACCGTCACAGCAGGCGCAAAGCTTTCCCAGTCGGAAGATCTAGGAATGGAGGCAGGGGCGAAGAGGAGACTATTTGGGAGAGAAGGCGTAGAGAAGTTGAGAATGGGGTGAGAAGGTAAGGAAGTCACCGTGCGTGGTGCGTTGGGAAGAGTACGCTGAACTTCTCTGAGTTCTTCCATCGTCTTTTCCCCTTTTTTTCACTCCCCCCTCCGTTTCTGTCTTTTCTCCCACATCTTTCCCAAGTCCAAATTTCTGCATCCATCCCACTTGCATTATCCTACGATTGTTATGTTTTTTCATGCCTCTGTTTTCCCCTTTTTTGATCTGTCCCTGTTCTTGGCCTTGTTGTTTTTTGTTTTTCATTTTCACTGTGATTTTTGTTCTGTCCTTATCGCCCCTGTTTTCTCTCTTCTCATCTTTTCGTCTCCCACTGACCCACTCCTCTCTCCTCCCAGTTTGGGGAAGCGGGGGTAAACCTCCAAAACGCCCTCATTTATCCTCGCCCTTGCTCCTCTGCTTCTTTTCCTCGCCTATCCTCCAGTCTCGCGGTTACTAGAGGACCCTTCATCTTAACCTTAGTTTCCCCCCGGAGGCCAAACAGCGGAAACACACCTCCCCGCCCCCACCACCGCGCCTCCTGGGGAATAACAACATCCGGTAACGTACCTTAAGTCATTTCCGTCCTTTACCTGCGTCTCAGTTGCTCCACTTCTCTCAGCCTAGAGTGTCTCCGCCTTCCCACCCGCCATTTTCCGAGCTTTTCAAACACGGGTCTGGGGCCTCCTACTCTGGGAGTATTTAGTGGTCGGGGGCAGGTCTGACGAGTAACCCCATCCCCCAAGTCCCGCCGGGAGAAGCCTCTACATCAGTTGGTGGGTTATATTATATTCAATTTCTAGATCCTTATTTGAAATTACAACTTTTTAACTCAAATTGCTGTTGATAAAAACTTCTCCCATCTGTCTCAATTCGATTTTTTCTAAGTCCTTTTTTTAAAACTTACCTGGGCTAGTGAGCTGCAAAGTAATAATTTGTCCTTTTCTCAATTTTACGTGAAAAAAATTAAATGGGTCACCCCAGCCCCCCTTCCCCCAAAATTTTTCAAACCTATCACTAATGTGAGAGATGCGTGTTAGAACAGGTGTCATCCCTGGTTGAAGATGTAAGAACCAGGTACCGAAGGGAGGCACGGAGGGCAAGGCAGTGGGAGAGGGGAGAGGCCGGCCAACACTGCGGTCCTACTAAGCCTTTCACTTACTCAGCCCGAGAGTTCCGTAGCCTCCGCTTCCTGCCGCCGGCGCTCTGCGTCGCTTCCGTCGGTACTTGTCTGCGGGTCAGCTAGTTCGGGCCTAGGGTCTCCTCCAGAGACACCCAGGCTTTGATGAAGATGCCGGGCAGCTCCTTGCTCCCGACCCGCGACCCGCGCCTGTGTCCGCCACGACGTCTCTGCCCTGTGCCTGCTTCTTTGGCTCTGGATTGACCTCACCCACCAGTAGCGACAGGAGAACGAGGAGCTGCATGCTGCTGCCCTGCAAGGGCATGATAGCGAGTCCACCTGTGGGGAACAAGGTCCTGAACCAGCTGACCAGGTCTGAGATGAAGGCCAGCAGTTGAAAAATAAGCTAGTTGCCCTGGTGGTGTGGCTCAGTGGATTCAGTGCTGGCCAGTGAACCAAAGTGTTGCTGGTTCAATTCCCAGTCAGGGCACAGGCCTGGGTTGCAGGCTAGGTGCCTAGTGGGGGGTGCATGAAAGGCAACCACACACTTTCTCTCCCTCTCTCCCTCCCTTCCCTTCTGCCTAAAAAAAATAAAAATAAAACCTTTAAAAAAGAAAGAAAAATAAGTTAGTTATTTGGTCATGGGATTTAGGGGGTATTTGACCAAGCTGGCATGTGGCCATCTCCCGTGCCATTACAATACTGAGCTGCCACTGTCTGAAAAACCCATCATTCCTCAAACAGCAACTGGTCTTCAAATTTCAAATCTTTCTAAATCAGTAGCTACTTTGTTTTTGAGTGGTGGTTTGCCTATAGCGCAAAAAGTAACACAGAGTATGCTCTGGAGTTAGATTGCCTGGGTTCAAATTCCCCCTCAACACAAACTTGGCTGAGGCCTAGTTTGCCATGTGCAAAATTAAATAACAACCCTTGCTCTGTGCCCAGCACTTCTCACAACGTAACTGTTTTAATCAAAGTAACTTGTTTAATCCTCACAATAATCCTATGATGTAATATGTACAAATATTTCCCAGGTGAGGATACAGCAGAGAGAAGTAATTTGCCAAAGTGGTAGAGCAGGGATTATAACCCAGGCAGGCCAGCAAGAGTATTATGCTGTGTGACATGTTATAGAATTACACAGTGATAGTGTCCAAAACCCCCTTGCTGGGATAAGTGTTTTAAGAACCAACTGAAATAGGACACATGATAAGTACTCAAGTAGATACTGGCCATTGTTGTTCCTGTTGTTATCAACAGATCCATACTTCCTTACCCACAGTTCTGAAACTTAAACACACTCTGAGAGCCAAACATTTTTTATTAGTCTGCCACCAGACTCATTTGGTGACAAAACCTAACCTGAACTAAAAATTTGTTTTTATTGTACTGATGTCAACATTCAGACCTTTTACTGCAAACATTCATGCGTCTGGTGACTGGGGCTGCCCAGGCCCTCCTGGGCTACCTAATACACAGTGTGTGTACTTTCAGGTCAGCTCTATCAAATCCCAGAACATAGGGACCTCAAAAACCTTTGACACTGCAGTTTCCTATGGGGACCTGTTGATACTGTAGTGGCAGAGAAGGCAGCTCTGTAAGGGTATAACCCTCCTTAGGAAAAAGAAAGGTAAAACACTCATTTCCTGTCTGAGGGTTTTCCTTCCAGAGTAAGAACATTCGAGGAGAACTTCTAGGTTGGGATAAACAACTCATTTAATTTGATTGCTGCTATTACCATCCCCCAGCTCCCCAAGTATGGGAACCTACCCCTATTCCCCAATATCTGACTTATTGTTTAAAAAAAAAAAAATCCCCTTTAACTCCCCTTAACATAAGTGAGATAGGCTGGCACACTGGGATTTTTTTTAACTTAGAAACAAAGAGGGGAGGTTTATAAAGTGCAGGAATCTAGCCGAAAGCGCATTGAAGGTGTCAACCGAGTACCCTGAGACAGACGGGAGACCCCGTCCAGGCTGCAGGTCTACCACTGCAGGCTGTATGACTGGGACAGGCAACCCTCTGTGACCCTGGCTTGCCTCTCAAATGCAGGCTGTGAGAATAAGAGAGGCAAGCACTTGGTGAGGTTTGGCACTCACTAGATGATAAGCAGTGTTTTTATTGACATTATTTAATTAAGGTTATTTGAATAATAAAAATATCCCTCATATGGTAAGTACTTTCTTCATTGTATTGAATACTCAGAAGACTGCAAGATTAATAAAATCATCTCACAGATAAGAGAAGCAGGGCCTAGAAGGTTCAGGAACTTCTAAAGGGGGATCTGCACTCAGGTCACTTCCAAGCACTGTCCATCCTCCTAGGCTTCCTTCCTCCTGGTCCCTGCTGGCCCTGCCACCAGGGGGCCTTCTAACTCTTAAGTAAAAAGGTCCATCCCATTCAGTTTCCACCTGGTTTAGAAACCAATGTGCCTTGAAACACAATTTTTTAAAACAGATTAAATGACCTAGGATACCCCTGAAGAGAGAGCATGTCCCTCAGCACCCATGTTAGGCCTGAGGGATTTGCCTATTCTTGCTGGGTTGGCTGTGCTGGGTTATCATATCCAGGGAGATGCCAGTGAATGGCCTCTACCTTTGGGCTTTTGGTAACTTCTCTTTGGGCCCATCACCTCACAGGGAAGTTGTCTCAGATGTCAGAGACCACTTTATAAACATATCTTAGTCAGACAATAGCCATTCTCTACGTACAAAAAGAATTAGCAAACATTGAGCAACAGGGTCATTTTCTCACAGTCTTTACAAAAAGAATAAAATCCAAAACCAACCTGATATGTGTGTGGGGCGGGGGCGGGGGGCAGTTTATGTGACATTCACTGCACTTTGGCTATGTGGCAGAACAGTAGCCAGCATTCACCATCCATTACCCACTTTGATCCGCACAGCAGAAGTAGGCTGTGGCCCTCTTTTACAGATGGCTGAGCCATCTGGTGTATGTTCCACTTGCCTTTCCAGCCTTACCTCCCTCGGCATACCGGCAAACCCACAGCTTCAGCTACGTAGGTCTGTGTTCAGTGACCACTCCCCCAGCATGTTTTTCACAAGCCTGTCTCTTGCCTGTTGCCTTCCCATCTGCCTGATTTTCACTTTGCTAAGTTATTTTCCCTTCCCAGCCCAACATAAGCCACACCTCCTCCTGGAAGCCCTCTCTGACCATCTTGTCCACTGTTAACTTTTGCTTCCTCCGCACCTCCTCAGTCAGTTGTCCTCAATACAAGCTTCTGGTATTGGTATTTTTTTTGAATGAGTTGTACCAGTTAGTGTGAACTTTGCTTTAAGGTAAAAATCCTCTCATTATGGGAAGGGGAAGAGCAGTGTTTTCATCACTAAGACAACGTCCATTTATAATCCAAAAAATTTTTTTCATATTTATTTTTCCCAATATAAAAGTACATTGGAAAAAGTTGATCTGTACTGCTAAACTGATGATAAAGTTGGCATTTCAAATCACTGGAGGGATGTGAGCTATTTAATAAATAATGTTGCAACATTTGCTTCATCCAGGGGAAAAATTAGAGTCCTTCTTCACACCTACCTTAAAAGTAAATTACAGCAGATTAAACACCTAAATATGACAGGAAGGGTACATAACAAATTCATGGGAGTGGTTCCTTTGGGGGCAATAAAACTTAGAAGGCAGCACCAAAAGAAACTTGAGCTTACCTATGATGACGTTATTTCTTTAAAATAAAATGGTATAGCCCTGGCTGGTGTGGCTCAGTAGATTGAGTGCCAGCCTGTGAATCCAAAGGTCGCTGGTTTGATTCCCAGTCAGGGCACATGTCTGGTTGCAGGCTAGGTCCCCAGTTGGGGCGTGTGAGAGGCAACCAATAGATGTATCTCTCACATCGATGTTTCCCTCTCTTTCTCCGTCCCTTCTCCTCTCTAAAAATAAACTTTAAAAAAAAAAAAGTAAATAAAATAAAATGGTATTGCAAAAATAACAATATGTTAACATACCCTGTGATAGGAATAGGGGTACTTATTGAACTATACTTTGTACTTTTAAAATTTTTTAAATCCCCCCCCCAAAGAAAGTAAATATAGTAGAAAAAATACACAGGAATAGTTTTATAATCTTGGAGTGGAGAAAACCTTCCTAAGAATGAAATAAATTAAAAAACTATTGATACACATTTAACTACATTAAATTTTTTTAAAAAATTTTTATTGATTGACTTCAGAGAGAGAGAGAGAGAGAGGAAGGGGAAGAGAATGAAACATCGATTGCTTGTTCCACTTCTTTATGCATACATTGGTTGATTCTTGTATGTCCCCTGACCAGGGATTGAACCCACAACCTTGGCATATTGCACATAAAATTTTTTTTTAATGGGAGAAAATATTTACAATATATGTAATAGACATATAGGTTGATATCTAAAGTATGTATGAACAAGTCATTCACAAAAGAAACAAAAAAGTGTTTAAAAAATTTCATAATTCGAATCACTTTTTTAATCTGTCAGATTGGCAAAATTGAAAGGTTGATGAGATTTAATTTGGTAAAGGAAGATACAGCCACTCATTTTCTTGGTAGGGGTGTATGTTGGCACAAACTTGATGGCAGTTTGGCAAAATTGCACATGTTCTTTACTCAGAAATTCCACTTCTGAGAATTTACCCCGCAGAAATACCGTAAGGAGTCCACAGAGACGTGTACGAGGCTGAACAGTTTTGGAAACAAAGCCTATAAATTGGGGGTGGGAGATATTTGTTTCATGCACAGTGGAACACTACACAGTCATAAAAAAAAAAAGAATGAGGTCAACTACGTTTACTCCTGTGGAAAAATATAAATAAGATATTAAGTGAAAAGAGCAAGTTGCCAAATAATACATATAGTGTGGTCACATGTTTCTGGAGCATCAATATACCCCAAGACAAGACTGGAAGGGACCACAGCAAACTCTTAAGAGTGATTAAATGTATTCTTTTTTTTTTTCTTTTTTTTTGTTAAGGAGCCTTGACTGGTGTAACTCAGTTGATTGGTGCATCGTCCTGTAAACCGTAAGGTCAAGGGTTCGATTCCCAGTCAGGGCACATACCTAGGTTGCAGGTTCAGCCCCCAGTCAGGGTGTGTACAAGAGGCAACCAGTCGATGTTTCACTCCCTCTCTGTCTCCCAATCATCCCCTCTCTCTCTAAAAACAAACAGACAAACAAAAAGCATGTCCTTGGATGAGTATAAAAAAATAATATATAAAAGGAGAGGAAATGTTTACGTTAGTTATTATCCCTTTCACATTAAAATATCATTAAGTAAGATGGAGGAAGCCACCCATGGTCCTGCCACCCAGAGACTAGAATCTATATATCTCTAGTCTGTACTCTTCAATCATGGCATTTGGTTTCTTTTTTTACACAGTTACAATCAGATCTCATGTACAGTTTTGTAGCCAGCTTTTTTCTACACAGACATAATTTTTAGTGCCTATATAATATCCTATGCCATATTTTACTTCTGTTTTATAGTTGGAAGCCTTAAAACTTATGAACTTAAAAACATCGGTGCAAGCCTGAGCACGCACCCACTCTCACACCTGCCATGAGCTCTGGGAGGGAGTAAGCAGTTGAAAGACAGGACTACTTACTTGCTGGGTGGGACAAGTAGGGAGGGCTTGTGACAGATCACATCAGTACTAAAGAGAAGCGACCCCTTATCCTGATGTGGTTTGGGTTACATGGCACTCGAGTGTTCCAGGAGATGGGTGGGATCAGCGGGCTTTGGCCAGCCAAGACTGGGCCCATTCTGTCCTACCTTCCTGGCAGTTACAAAACAACCCTTCTCCTGCCCCATCCTTTTCCTAAATAGCCAGTGCTTCCTAGTAGCACCAAAAAAAAAAAGAAAGAAAGAAAAAAAAGAATTTAAGGACCACCAGCTCTAGGGAAAGCAAGTAGGTGTACAGGAAGAGAGGGTGCCTCATTCACCTTCCTCTGTCCCAAGTGAAAGAGGTGCTTGATGACCCTGGTGGCCTTGGCAGGTGGGCCGGGCCAGGAGTAAGGTGCCTGGATTTGCAATGAAGTGAACAGCGCTGCTCTCAGCTAGCCTACACTGGAGCAGATGCAGTGAGGTCAGGGCGCAGGAAGGGGGAGCTAGGGAATGGCAGTCTCTCTTGTGTTCCCCCAGGCTCTTTTCAGACAGCCCTTGGGATGGTCCCTTTATCTCAGTCCATTCCCTCCCTTCCTCCCTCCAACTGGCCCTTAGGCCAGAAGTCATTTGGAAAGAGCTTGCTCTCCTGCTGGGAACTTTTCTATGGCTCGCACTCATTGCTGATCTGGACCCTCTACCTCCCCACCCCTCAACCTCCCCACTCCCCTCTCAACATGCCCTGGGAAAGGCTGATGAGGGAAACTCCCCTAAAAACATTTATTTTATGCAGTTTATTGAAAAGTGATATAAAAAGATGCCTATTATATATTTGTATATTTATAATGGTACAGAGAAGAATGTTCAGATTTTTACCACCTGAATTACACATGGAGATTTTTGACAATGCCCTGGGTGGCTGGAGGCAGGCCAGAAAATGTCATTTGACATAGTAGAACTCCCAGGAAACTAAAATAGCTTCGTGGGGACACAGGTCAGAATACTTTAAACTACCACATTTATTATGCATGTGGCAAACGGTCAGTAAATATTTGTCTAATCCAGAAGGGTATGAGTGGCCAGGAGGATCCCAGATGGCACCCTGCCAAGGACACAGAGCCCCAGCAAACTCTTCTCACTGCTCTGACACCAACAGCCTACACAGACGTCTTCCTGCCACTGATGAGTCGCTGTACAACTGCCATGGGGATAAAGAATAAGGATGGAGAGACTTCTGGGCTGGGAGCCCCACTGGGTTTCTGCTAAAGAGGAGGAAGAAGAGGAGGCATCCAGGGAGCACAAATGAAGACAGAAGCCACAGGAAGAGCTAGAGGATGAGTGGAGTGGCAGGAGGTCTTTGGGCAACTAGAAAAGGAGGAAGCCTTTCCCACCCACAGCTGCCTTTCCCTGCAAGCTGCTTTACCTACACCCCCTCCCTTGGTCCCACCCTGCTTCCCTTGCCCCATGACTTTCTCACAGGCTCTTCCTGACCCCCCCATCCCACCCTCTCAAACAGAGGACACTTCCCAAGAGGCCCAGGAATCCAAGTCCTTCTCAGTCTGGACAGATCACCTGGCCTGGGAACATGGCCAGAAGTGCCAGCAACAGCTGCAGCAGCATGAGGCAAAGGGAGCCTGCAGACCCCCACAGGCTGAGAGGTCCAGTCTTGGCTGGTGGCAGCAGAAGAAGTCTGAGAAAGCCAGAGCCAAGGCGAAGAACCATGCGAGAGCTGAGCCAGGCCAGTGCAGCACTCTCAGGGACCCAGGGCACAGGGCCAAACACCCCGCAGAGCAGAGAGGGGCAGCCTCTGGCGCTTTGGCTGTATGCCCCGGCCAGTCCTAGTGGAGGGGACCCGGAGGCCATGACTGCCACCCTGGTGGCAAGGCCCATCCCCTTGGAGGAAGAGGGTGCTCCGAGAGTCCAGCAGGTTCACTGGCACCCTGACCACTTCTTACAGCAATTACAGAGACAGACTGAGACCTGGGAGTGGGGCCTAGTGATGGGAGCTATGACAGCCCTTTCGCAGGCCCTGTATTGCCATTCAGAGGCCATCAAATGACCACAGAGAAACAGGGAGAAACTGCAGGGAACGCAGCCGTGGGGGCAGGGTGGCAGGAAGGGCACAGTCAGAAATGGGGATGACGAGGGCCAAGCAGATGCTGCACAGCAGAGGATATGGGGTGGGAACGAAACTGGTAATAAGAGGGGGTGGGGAGGACAGGCCGCCACCACTGCTCCTTGACTCTGCCATTTCCTAATAAGACCTGGTTCTACATCTCACTCCTGGTGTCTCTTCTGCCTTTTTCCATTACTGTGGTTTTCATCACCCATGACATCTCCTTTCCCGCCCCGCCAGCCAAAACCCACAGCTCCCACACACCTGTGATACGCATACACACACTAACACATGCCCTCAGCTGGAGACAAGAAGCCCCCTGCTTGCCCACCCACAAGGGTGGTCCTGACAAGGTCCAGTTTGCCCTCTAGTGTGACTCCACTCTCTATGCTGGACTCCCTTCTGCAATGAGCCACGGGAGAAATAGCTGTGAGCAGAGGCAAAAAAAAGGAACACAACCAATTTCCCTCCCCTCCCCAGCCAGAACCACATCCTCCTCCCCATTAACACCCCTCCCCCAGCACAGATAGGGCTTTCCCTTTGCTGAGTCACTGAATGGTCCAAGTTGGGGGCAGCCAGAGCTAGGGGACATAAGGAGGTTGTGGGAGGTCAGGGGATAGAAGCAGAATGGATGGAGGAAGAGCCCTGTGAGGGAGTGGAATTTCAGTTGCTAAAATTAGGAGCAGGGGAAGCAGGCGGAAAGAGCCAAATTATGTAACCTGGGTTGTCTGCTCTTGGGCAACCAGGGATCCAACCCCAGGCCATCTCTCCCCTCCCACTCTCAGTCCTATCTCTCCTCCAGGCCCTGAGAAAAGAGTGAAGTAAAATGGACTCACTATAGTCAAGCTGCTAAAAACTGAAGTCAAGTAGGTTGAGGCCCGAGGAAATGATTCTATTCTCATTTTTACTAGCCTGGGAACTTAAACTTCAGAATTTTCCAGTCCTGCCTCAATGCCTGGGCACACATCTGACCTCCAGATAACCCTCTGATTACCCCCTGAAAGACTCCCGTGTACATTCACCTGGCATCCATCATCCAAACCACCTGATATCTGCCTGGCAACCATCCTGGACCAATCCTACAATGCAGGACTGATAATTCTCAAGGATACACTTACTATAAGAACTTTATAACTTTTCTTTGTTCCTCAGAAGCATTTCTGGGTTTTTCCCTAGTTACGTGTCCAGTTCGCAGACCCTTAAATCAATCTTTATCATTTATTTCTAACCAAAGCCTCCAAACTCTTTTTGAGTTTTTTGTGAACAGCCTCAATTCTCAACTCCGTCCTGCTTCTGCCATCCCAAACTTGAGTTTTCTGGGCAGGCAGGGACGGCCTGCCAGAAAAATATCTTTTCCTGAGGCTGAGGAAAAGGTCCTGAGGGATGGAGGCAGAAGGTCTAGAATTCCCAGGGAAGACTGAGGGCACCATCCCTCCTGCTGTTTATACTCAGTTCTCACTCCGGCCTCCTGGACTAGATAGGAAGTTGTGGACAGTACCAAACCAGGGTCCAGCAGCAAACTTCGTGAAGAGGAAGGGCAGAACTGACAGTACAGGCACGAGCTGGTGTGTACAGTCTGCTCTTGTCTACAGCAGAGAAGCTTACGAATCAGAAACTTATTTTTCAGGCTAGAGCCCCAGTCTACACAGGAGAAGCCCAACAGTAGAAGTAGAGGGCATTGGAGGACCGGGAGGGGCAGCCTCAGGAACGTAGCTTGGGAACGTGGGGTAAGCATGAAACCCTTGGAGAAGACAGAGCCAAGAGGCCCAAGGCCTCCGAGGGACCAGCCAGATCTTCCGGGAGCAGGAGAAGGAAGGGCTGGTGAGAAAGAGCCTGTGAGAGGAAGCTGCTGTGATTCAGAGAAGAGACTTTGGGCTGTGAGCAACCCGGGCGTCCGGTTCCTTTCACAGGCCGGAGATTTCGGAAGTGGCATGCAAAGAGCTCAGGTGGGGGGCGGAGTGGGGGGGCGGGGGGCGTGGTTAGGATCCCAAGCTGGAGGCTGACAGGTAAACAGCAGAAAACTTTGGCGTCCAAATTGGCTCCTCCATCCAGATTTTTCTTTGGTTTTTCAGCACATCACTAACCCTTTGCAAGAGTTACATAAAACCACAGCAAAATTAAGCCGTGATACCTGGCCCCCCAGACCTCCCTGTTTTCAGTGTTTCTCCCTGATGTCTGGCCCCCAGCCCTGTTGGGGGTTCCCCTGAGATGAGGGCTGTTCACTTTCTCTGACCACACAGTTTCCGCTTCTGTGTCTCTTTTTCCTAGGCTGATAAAAATACTGAGCCCTAGAGGCTCTGGCTTCCTCTGACCCCCCGGGGCCAGGCAGCAGGCATCCTGTCCACCACAGTGGGGGCAGGGAGGGGGCCCAGGGATCCCCAAGGGGTGACTCAGTGCCTACCATGAAACGCTGGGGAGGTGGAAGAGTGCATGTCCTCTCTAGAGCTGGAGCAAGGAATTGGTTCTCAATTAATTGAAAGCCTTGGGTTTCAGTTAGAGAAATAGAATAGGGAATGAGATTAGTGAGGTTGAAGAGGGACTGTTTGGGGATTGGGGTCGAGGCAGGTCTGGGTTAAGTTAGGAAAAGGACCCAAAGGGACTCTATTCAGTACAGTTCAACCAAGCATCAAGTAGCCCAAAGATAAATTCAAACTCTGCTTCAACTTTCCAGTTCCATAGGAGAGGCATGCTGAGTAAAGGGCCTGGTGAGGCACAGCGGGTACAGAAGAGGGGCCTCTGAGGCAGAGAGGGCATGAAAGCATGCCCTGACCAATGGGGAGAATGTCTGTGGGCAGAGGCAGAAGGGGTCTGCAGGTAAAGGAAATGGCTTGAGCAGAGGAGGGAGTCCGAAAAGCAGTACATTGTGGAGAAGGGTGTCCTGAGGTAGACAAAGCAGAGGTGTGAGTGAGCAGGCGTTGGAGGGAAAGGATTCAGACCGTGTGCTGTGCGATGGCACTATGACTGCTGTGCAGGAGAGCGCTGTGTGCACAGGCTCCAAGAGAAGGAGACAACGTTGTTTTGAACACCTGTCAAGTCCCTTACTTAACATAATGCTGCCAACGACTGTCCAGAAGGTGGGGGTGGGTGTCCGTTGTACAGATGGGAAAACTGAGGCTCATACATGTCCTATTACTTGCTTAGGGCCACACAGCTAAAGACTAATTAAATCATCATTAAACATCTTACTCTAAGACTCATGTACTTACTATGTAGCTCTCAATAACTCCAAATGGCATTAAAAGTGGAAACAGATTTTATAAACTTCAACAGGATAAATCAAGGCATAGCAACTGATTGGTGGTGGGAATGAAAGAAGAGGAATCAAGTGACTCCAAGTTTTAAGCCAAAGGGATTGGAAAGGTGAAGTTCCCCTAACCCAAGGAGATGTGTGGTCCAGGGAAAGGTTCAGGGGAAGGTAAGAAGGTCAGACATCCAATCAGGAAATTTGTATTCAGCAGCTGACAGAAGCAAGGTGCTCTGCTAGACAATGAATATAAGTGAAATAAAGTCACTGCCCCCAGAGCTTGCAGTCTAACAAAACAAACACTACACAAGTATATATGGGACACCTACCCATGATAATGGGAGCTACACCTGCTTAGAGCAGCGATTTTCAACCTTTTTCATCTCATGGCACACAAACTAATTATTAAAATTCTGCAGTACACAAAAAAATGTGTATAATTTTTATTTCATTCACACTGGACAGCTATTGTTGTATCGGGTGTTGTCATTTTTTTAGTATGACAATCTAAGGGAAAAGAGGTCAGTACTCCTCATGAAATAGTCAGGTATTGCATGTTTTAAAAACTATTGCAGCACACCCATTGGAAATAGCTGGCTTAGAATAACAAAGTGCTCACAGGGGCCCACAGAGCCAGAGGTGCTAGCGTACCACTCAGGTGGCGCTCTCTGGCAAGCTGGTGTGGAGCTCGAGAAGGATACTTGGGCTGGAAGAATAGATTTGGGCATCACTCCTCTCCCAATGAAGGTTGAACCTTGGAGTAGACAGGATTCCCAAAAGAGAAGGTGACCAGAAGAGCCCTGAGGGTGATCAAAGGAAGAAGAACCCAAGAGGAGCGAGATCAGGGAACAGTCAGAGAAGTAGGGCAAGGAAGCATCGTGCCAAATAGAGGCCATGTCTGATGCTTCAAAGACATCAAGTGGGTGAGGGTTGAAAAGATCCTTTAGGTTCAGGAACTAGATGATTACAAATTTCGAGAAAGTAGTTTCCACTTACCAGAGGGGCAGAAATCACTTTACATAGGATGAGGAATGAGTGGGAGGTGAGGAAAGGGAGGTGGTGGGTACAAAGTCATAGAATGGTGAATACAAAAGAAACTAAGACTTGTCTCTAGTTCAACCCACGAATTTTACAGATGAGGAAAATTTTACCAGTTCCTAAAAAAGTAGTTAAAGGGGTTAGTCTTAACACAGCACACAAAAAAGGAAGGTGAAATATGGAATGGACACTTGAGAGAAAAAGAAAGGATTTTTTATTTTCAAGGAAAAAACCTGAATCTGTAAAATGAATGGAAGGAGCATGAAGAGAGGAAGATACTGAAAGCATAAGAAAGAGGAGAAAGGATACAATAAGGACAGAGGAAATGGGATACAGAATACAAAGGAAAGAGCACTTCCCTGAGTCGAGAAGAAAGGAAAGACCAAACATAAAGGTACAAAAAACAAGTCAGGAGCTCTACCGTGGATGGCCTTAAGCTGGATGAAATAGATGACAGCATCACCAACTGAAATGAAAGAGGTAGAGTGGAGAGCATAAGAGGCATGGAGACAGAACACCACCTGCAGTGTGACAGTTGGAATCAACAAAGAAGAATTAAGAAACATTGAGGGCTCTCAGGTCAGAGAGTCAGGATTAGCCATAGGCCTCTTATGGTGGCATGACTCCTGCAATGCTTGGCAGTCTGGGAGAAACACTCAAGAACAAGACCATTAAGTTTACTCAAATCAAGTGTTAAAGGTCTTCTTGCTAGAACTTCAGGTAGGTAAGTGATTCCAAAGCTGAATCACTGAGAAGCTAGAGTGTAAGTCTCATCTTTGTGGTTTTGAAATCTCTAAAAATGGTGGTAGGGGATGACATATGCAGAAAAACTGAGTTAGATACACAGATGTTGGTGGAAAAGACTGCTGTGCACACAGGAAAAGCATGGCAAATGCAAAAGGCATGGGCTTCAAGAGAAGGAGAAGCTTACCAATGGTGCAGGGGAGAGGGAAATAGCGGCCTCTCCTCTGGCTCCTACCCCTAGTGATGAGGGTGGAAGAAGGAGCAGGCAGCCTTCACCAAAGAGAGAAGGAACATCGTTAGGAGAAATCCAGGTTTCCAAGTGCCAAAGGAAGACTCTTTCAAAAATGAAATAGAGGATTTGAATATAAGAAGATTTCCACAGAATATTGTGAAATGCATCCATAGACGTGTCCTCATGGAGTAGGACATCTAATCCTGGGAGGTAAATCCTGCTGAGAGTTCAGAAGCAGACGAGATCTGGACAGTTTTGCCTCTAGAAGCAAGAGGTGATCCAATCACCTCTGCCTCACACTTGTCTCTCTCTCACACACATACACACACGTACACACACGTACACACTCACATGCACATACACTGACATCCTTCAAAGCTTCCCATGGTTGAACAAAACCCAGATGCTTTACCCCTCCTTGCCTAGCTCTGCCTGATCTGGGTCCTGATCTCCCCTTTGACCTCATTTCCCAGCCCTCTCCCTCGCCTCTCTCTGCTCCAGCCACACTGGATTCTTTCTGTTCTTCAGCACCCCTAGCTGGTGCCCACCTTCTGCCCTTTGTAGAAGCTATTCCCTTTGCCTGGAATGCTTTTCCTCCAAACCTCTACCTGGTCACTCTTGCCATTTGAGTCTCACCTTAAACACCACTTACTTAGAGAAGACTTCCCTGACCACTGTGTCTAAAGGAGTTCCCTGCCACTCTTATCACACCCCTGTCTTCCTCACAGCACTTCTTACGGATTTCTCGTCTGTGTATTTCTTTTCTACCTTTCCTCACTAGGATATAAGCTCCAAGAGCACCAGGATGCCATCTGACTGGCTTGCCACAATACCCCTCCTGCCTAGAACAGTGCCCAGGATGCAGTAGCCTCCCAATAAAGAGTTAAGTGAAGGGATGGATGGATAATGGAGAAAATCAGGATAAGACTCAACTTTAGGTTTGTGGCTCAGGTTGGGCTTACATTTAGAGTCAGGTTTAACTATAGGGTTACACATGGTGATCAGTTGGTTTCAAGATTAGTTCTAGAAACAGGGCTGTGTTAGATTAGAGAATAAGTTTGTTGCGGGGGTTCATGTACTGGGATGTTTTAGATTTGAGGTGAGGGTTGACTGTAGGTTGTGATTTGGGTTGAGGTTAAATTTGGGTTAGGGTCAAAGTTGGTATTAAATCCCAAGTTTGATTTTTGAGGCTAAGTTTAGGTTTCAGGCTAATGTCATTTCAACCTCATTGGAAGCCTCAGAGATTTCATTGGTTTCTCCACAGAGACCACTGTAGAGACTCTATTTCCCTGAGTTTGGGGCACAAGACTCCAGTCATCACCACTCCCACTCAGGGAAAGCCCCAAACCAACTGCTGGCCACCCCAAGAAAGAAACCGAATTTCACGCAACCTCTGAAACTGAGATTGAAACCAAGATTGGCCCATGTCAAGGAACATCCTTCAGCTCAGCACAAACCCCATGACAGCCAGCCCGGCCCAGCTCTGCCCTTCCTTCCTCTCCGTCTCTCATGTCTCTCTACCACTCCTCACCTTCCCCTTTCTGTCCATCGATGCATCAGTCTTTCTTTCTGACCTCAGTTTCTCCATTTCTGTTTCTCACTGTTAATTGAACTGTCCTTTTATATTTTTAGAGAGCTGAGGTCTCTGTTCATCAGCTCCAACCATTAGAGAGGAAGAAAAAAGGACCCCAAAGCAAGGGGAACACAGAGAAAAGGAAAGGGGCACAGACCAGGAGAGAAACCAACAGCAACACAACAGACAGTGAGGTTAAAAGAATAAGATGCTGAGATGCAGACCAAGAAATTAAAAGAGGGATCTGTGACCACTCTTTCTCCTCTATCACATCTGCTCAGTCATCAAAATCTAGAGATTTTGCCTGGAGACTCTCTTCTCCTTTCCATTCTCCTACTGTGGTCTCAGTATAAATGCAGGCTCTTGTCACCTACTTCCTGGATTATGCAGAACCCTCCTAACTGGTCGGCACATTTATGGTTTCCCCTCCAGCACCCCCACCTCCCTTACCCCAATCCACCCTTTGTGTAGCTTGCCAGACTCATTCTTCTAATATATTAATCTGGTAGGGCCATCTCTCACTCAAAATTTTTGGTGGCTTTCATCACAATTAGAATGAAATGCAAACTTCTTTTTGTGGTTTCAGACCTTCAGGATGAGTTCTAAGCTTCCCTCCTAAGCTTGCAGCTTCCTCTTCTCTCTGCACCCAGTGGCATAGCTCAGTATACTCCATACCATCTTCTAATTCTTGTTTTTGCACACACTCTTCCCTCTGTCTGGAATACTCCTCACCATCTCCTTTGCCTCAATACCTAATTCATGAATCATCTCTCCACAAGTTCGGTGGGTTTCCTGTAGGCTGCCATGAGCCCATTGCCGCAGACCTTATCATACCTTATTATAATTTTCTGATAACTTTCCTGTCTCCTACATTGGTCTTTGAGGTCCTGGATAAAGACTATTCTCAAGGTCTTGTACAAGGTGTTCAATAAATGTTAGTGGAGTAGAGAGACAGCTAAGGAAATGGAATGAGGACAAAAAGATGATAGATAAGACTAGTAAGGCAAGAAAGGCAAAATTGCAGACTTCAGGTAGGGGGAGGAAAACAGGAAAATAGTTTGTACACGTCCTGAATGTTACTTATGAGCGACAGGACACCAAGACCCCTTGGGGACTTTGTGCCAGAGGAGAGTGGCAATGTGCCCAGTGCCATAGGGGGAAGGTTTCAGCCGCCATCACTATCACCCTCAGCACCAGCCCCTCCAAAACCCTCCAAATGAAAGCATAACAACATTAGTAAGAGTGATTGTTGTTTTTTCAATCTCACAAAACAGGAATAAAATCCTGTATCCTGTTTAGAAACCTGATTTTGTTTAACCTGCAAGTTATAAGCTAAGTGATAACTGGCTCATGTTAAAGGATATTCACATCAACGTTTTTCATACTAGCCAAAACCTAGATACAAACTAAATGCCCATCAGTAGAAGAATAGATAAATGAGTTAGAGTCTATTCTCACAATAGAAATTACACCACAATGAAAACCCCACTCAGTATAAATGTGCAACCCACATGATCTGTGCCACCTGATTGATGGCACTCACAGGCAGTGTTGCCTGGAAGGAGCCAAACTCCAGTGAGTACGTTCCGTGTGGTTTCATTTACCTCGAGTTCAAAAGAAGGAAGAACTAATCTACAGTGATGGAGGTCAGAAAGTGGCTGGTGGTCTTTGGAGAATATTAACTGGGAAGGGGCATGAGAGAAACTCCTGGGGACCTGAAAATATGTTGAATTGGGTGGTGGCTACATAGCTATGAACAGATGGAAAAGTCTGTCAGGCTGTTCTCTCAGAAAACGAGCATCTGACCATATCTAAGTCACACATCAAAAAAACACGGAAATCTTTGACAACTTTAAAACAATGTATTGGCTCTACAAATGCAGCTTCAAGGCCAATGGCTTAGCTGCCACACTCCTTGATCCTAGAATGTGTTTGTTTGCAGTTACATAAAGCGTGACCTGTGGCTAAGGCAGAGGGCCTTGTCATACATGACTATATCTTATCATCTCTGGGAAGGGGGGCATAAATCTATCTTCCAGGACACTTTTGAAGTGAGCTCCATGAGTTGTTTCACCAGGACAGCAGGTATAAACTAGAATGTTCCAGGCAAGGGGTTCATCCTAGGTTTCTTGAGAGGAAACCTGCCAGACAACCTGGAAAATATTCACACCAGGGCAAATGTGACCTGGGCCATTTGGGACAAGGACAGGGGTAAAGAGGAGGAAATGGGCACAGAGAGAAGCCTGTAATCAGCCACGGATGCCAAGGTGTTATACATAATCGCTCTTCAGGGAAATAGGCCTCCAGCCCACACCCCAGCTGATACCCCTCTGGCTCCCCTGAATTCACTGTCCTTCTCTGAAACTCCTAACCCTGACCCCACTCCCCAGCCCTCTCAGCCCACAGTTCCCCTGACCCCACTCCCCTTCCCAGAACTCAGTTGTCTGAGCCCCTAGCCTGCGGTTCTCTCCTAGGCCTCAGCCTTTCCTGCCTTCGGCTGAAACAGCAGCATCTTCTAAGCCCTGGGGGCTTCCCCGGCCCCAGCCCTGGCCTAGAACCCGCCTGCTGCCTGCCTGCCACTGCCGCTTCCTCTATAAAGGGACCCAGGGGCCTTGCACAGCAGGTGAGACTCTCCCACCCCATCTCCTTGGGTTGCCCCGCGGTGGACTCTTCCTGGCCCCTCCTGCACCTCCTGCCTGGGCCTGGGCCTTGGTGGGTTTGGTTTTGGTTTGTTCCCCCTCTCTGACTCTCCATCTGCCAGTATCTTTCTCTCTGTCTCTAGCACACATTTTCTGTTTCTGCCGCGACCTCTCTCTGTCTTTCTGTCTCCCCTTGCTTACCTCGGGGTTTCCCTGATTTCATCTCGTCCCTTTCTCTGTCTGTCACCCTATGTCTTATGGTGGCTGTCTCCTCGGGAGCAGGCCAGTCTCCTGCAGCACCCCACCCCAACACAATCACTGTCTCTCTCCCTGCAGGTTCTCCCCATGACACCACTTGGACATCTCTACCTCCTGAGGGTGCGTGGCGCCCACCTCCTCCTCCTTCTCCTTCTGGGGCTGCTGCTGGCCCTGCTGCCTGAGGCCCAGGTGAGGCAGCAGGAGAAGGAGGTTGCAGGGGTAGCCCAGCTGAACCTTGGGCCCTAGAGCCCACCAAACTCTGTTCTCCCCCTAGGGGCTCCCTGATGTTGGCCTCTCAGCTGCACGGACTGCCCATTATCACTCCCAGAAGCACTTCGCACAAGGCACCCTCAAACCTGCTGCTCACCTTGTTGGTAAACATCTTCCTGCCCTTCCAGATGTGTATCCCTCAGCCCCTTCCTAACCGCCTTCAGAGACCCAAGCATCTATCAACCCCACCTTTTCCCAACTTTCCCCAACCCCCAAAAGAGGCTCCCACTCCCTTCTGTCCTCCCAGCCATCCTTCAGGAACTCAGTCCAGCACCTGTTTCTTCAGGGATTGAGACCTCTGACCCTCAGGTCCTTGACCCACCCCTAAACACACATACCTATGGCTCTTCCTAGGAGACCCAGGCACCCAGAACTCACTGCGCTGGAGAGCGAACACGGATCGTGCCTTCCTCCGCCACGGCTTCTCTTTGAGCAACAATTCACTCCTAGTCCCCACCAGTGGCCTCTACTTCGTCTATTCCCAGGTGGTCTTCTCGGGGGAAGGCTGCTTCCCCAAGGCCACACCAACGCCCCTCTACCTGGCCCATGAAGTCCAGCTCTTCTCCTCCCAGTACCCCTTCCACGTGTCTCTCCTCAGCGCTCAGAAGTCCGTGTGCCCAGGGCCACAGGGACCTTGGGTGCGCTCGGTGTACCAGGGGGCTGTGTTCCTGCTTACTCAGGGAGACCAGCTCTCCACTCACACAGATGGCATCTCCCACCTACTCCTCAGTCCCAGTAGCGTCTTCTTTGGAGCCTTCGCTCTGTAGAAAAAATCCAGAAAAAAAACCATTGGTTTCAAGGCCTTCTCTCCATCTTGCCTCTATCCTGACCATTTCAAGGGTCACAACAGCTCTCCTTTGACCATTCCAATAGTCTTAAGTCTTCCCTGCTCACGTCACCTGGAGCTTCCAAAGAAGGAATCTCAGCAGCCCAGGATTCCTGCCTCCCTGACCCACCTCAGCACTCTGCTTCGATGCTCAGCTGAGGATTTAAGCCTGCCCAGAGACTCCCGCCTATGGCTGCCAGTGCAGGAGCTTAGCCCTGGGTGTGGAGGGGAGCAGACAAGTCGGGAGCTTGGGCGGATGCCTGGAGGCAGGGAGAGGGGATTATTTATGAAGAGAAAAAATTAAGTTATTTATTTATGGAGGACGGAGAGAAGGGAATAATAAAGGGACATCAGAAGAGAAAGAGACAAATATGCCCAAGAGATGAAGCTGAGAAGCATTGCACAAGAATGACCAAGAGAGAACATGAGTGGAGTTGAGGGACCAAGGGGCTCTAGAACACGAAGGTTTCTGAAGGGCCAGCACTGCTTGACAACACACCCCGTGAGGCGATATCTGCATCCTCGATCAAGCCCAATAAACCTTTTTTTTCCTCTGAAATGCTGTCTGCCTGTGCCTGTCTGTCTGGGAGAGAAGAATTTCTCAGGTCTCTCTAAGGAATGAAGGGAGGAGCGGAGTCTCAGAGGGCGTAGGAGTTGGGTGCATACAAAGAGATACAGAGGATTAAGGAGTCCTGCGACTGGTGCGGTGACAGGGAGTGGGGTGGTGCAAGGCAGCCAGGCCCTGCAGGGGAACCAAAGGGTAAGCTGAGAAAACAAAGGAAAAACGAGGTCCAAGGTCTGAAGGAGTGGAGGTCAGGGGACCCCTGGCAGATACGGCCACATATCGAGGCTGTGAGGAATGAGGGATTACAGGAAGCCTCCAGAAAGAAGTGACCACACAAAAGGGTCTTCAGGACTATGGGGATGGAGCATGGGGATCCCCTGGAAGACATGGCAATGCAAGGGCCATGAGGAGTGGGAGAGTGTCCAAGGCTAGGGGCCTGGGAAATACAGAAGACATTTGAGGGGACATGGTCGTGCACAGGGCTAGGGCTATCTCCAGGAATCTGAAGGGAGCAGGAGTTCTTTGGGGATACACAGGTACACACGGGAGTTCTGAGGGATGAGGCCTTCAAGCAAAAATCAGGGCCTCAGGTTCCATTGGAAGCCAAGACTGAAACCAGCACTGTGAGTCCCTGGTCAGAACAAAAGGAGAAGGCCTGCCCTGGTGGAGTTTGTGAATTCCCAGGGTTGCCTCTGGGGCTGTCCCAGGATTGTCCCCGCTATCTACCCCTAAGCCCCTCCAGAGGCCCCATCCACACCCCCAACTTCCCTTCTCTCAGCTCCTTCTTACCCAAGGAACCCAAACTCATGTCTCAGGACATGGCATAGCTTCCCCCCTTTTTCTTGCCATCAAAGACTCAGCTTCCATTTCTGAAACCCCTTCCATTTCTTGTTCTGGCCCTAGGTGAGTCCTGTCTGGAAATCAGAAGGAAACAGGCCACAGCCCTGGTCCCCAAAAGGAATGGAGTCAGTGGGAACTAGGGCAGGGGGGAACGGGGTCCAGCCTTCAAGGTCCTACCGTCACAACAGTAACTGGCCCAGTAAGCCCTGCTCAGAATCTAAGCGGGGAGGGTGGCAAGTATCCTTGATGCCTGGGTGTCCCCAACTTTCCAAATCCCCGCCCCCGCGATGGAGAAGAAACCGAGACAGAAGGTGTAGGGCCCACTACCGCTTCCTCCAGATGAGCTCATGGGTTTCTCCACAAAGGAAGTTTTCCGCTGGTTGAATGAGAGCCTTTCCCCGCCCTCCTCTCCCCAGGCGTATAAAGGCAGCTGTTTGCACAGCCTGCCAGTAGAAGCTCCCTCAGCGAGGACACCAGGGGACCAGCCAGGAGAGAGAGAAGCACCTCCAGACCCCCTGGAAGTGATCTCTCAGAAGACACAGCTCCCAGAGAAGCAGCCAGGCAACTCTCTCCCTCTGACATCCTTTCCCAGCTAGACGTGAGCCACTCCGGAAGGGACACCATGAGCACTGAAAGCATGATTCGGGACGTGGAGCTGGCTGAGGAGGCGCTCCCCAAGAAGGCAGGGGGTCCCCAGGGCTCCAGACGGTGCTTGTGCCTCAGCCTCTTCTCCTTCCTCTTGGTGGCAGGAGCCACCACACTCTTCTGCCTGTTGCACTTCGGAGTGATCGGCCCCCAGAGGGAAGAGGTGAGTGCCTCACCAGTCTTGGCTCCTTCTCCCACCCAGAGAGAAATGGGGGCGAAAGAGGGTGAGAGATGGAGAAAGAACACTGGAGAAAGATGGGGAGGCAGGAAGAGAAGTGGAGAGAGGTCAGGGAAGAGAAAAGGATGGAGAGAGACAATATCTGTCACCTGGAAGGTGCTAACTAAATATTTCTTGAATGAATGAATGAATGAATGAGCAAGAGATAAACACATATAAAGGGATACGTAGAAAGATGTGAGATGTGGGTAGAGAGTTGGGGGAAAAGCAAGTGATATGAATAAAGATGGTGAAATAAAGAGATAAGGGAGATATGAAAAACTAGTGAGGGAAGGAGAGATAAGGAAAGATGAAGACAGGATAGCTGGCGTGTGGAAGGCACTCAACAAAAGATTGTTGAATGGATGGATGGATGGAGAGAGAAAACTAAACACATCAGGCAGAGAGTACCCACTAGGTAAGCAGCCAGCTCTTTCTACCTAGGGGTGACTTGCTCTGATTCTAATCGCCCTCCTTCTCCCCAACAGTTCCTAATTGGCCCCTCGCTGGCCCAGACCCTTGGTAAGTATCTCCAAAGTCCCTCTCCTACTTCTGGGTTTGGGTAGAGTTGGGGTTAATCCTGGGATGGTAGCAGTGAGAGAAATTTAGACTTGGGGTTTGGGGGGATAAGGAACAGAGGTCAAAGTAGCAGGGTATTTTTTTGGAAGCTTAAGGGTCTCATCTCTTTCTTTCCTCTTTCCTCCGCAGGATTATCTTCTCGAACCCCAAGTAACAAGCCTGTTGCCCATGTTGTAGGTAAGAGTTCTGAGGATGTGTCTGGGGGAGGAAGAAGCAGGTGAGCTGAGGAAGGATAGGATTTGGGGGCTGAACCCAGGCTGAAGGTAAACAGACCTTGGAGCCGGTATGAAAAGAACTCACTGAATTCAAGGGGAGAGTGGAGAAACACCACAGGTCTTGCGGAGTATACACAGAACCTCATGGCCCGATGGGATATGGGAAGACAGACAGAGGGGACAGAAACAGGATGTGGGGGGTGGGCAGAACTTGAGGGCCAGGATGTGGAGAGTAGAACTGACAGGTTCACACTCACTCACCTCTCCCTCTTTCTCTCCCTCCCTCCAGCAAATCAACAAACTGTGGGGCAGCTGCAGTGGAAGAATCAGGTTGCCAATGCTCTCCTGGCCAATGGTGTGCAACTGACAGACAACCAGCTGGTTGTGCCGTTGGACGGGCTGTACCTCATCTACTCCCAGGTCCTCTTCAAGGGCCAAGGCTGCCCTCAAACCCACTTGCTCCTCACCCACACCATCAGCCGCTTCGCTGTCTCCTACCCAAAAAAAGTCAACCTCCTCTCTGCCATCAAGAGCCCTTGCCAGAGGGAGACCACAGAGGGGACTGAGGCCAAGCCCTGGTATGAACCAATCTACCTGGGAGGGGTCTTCCAGTTGGAGAAAGGTGATCAACTCAGCGCAGAGATCAACCTGCCCGAATATCTTGATTTTGCGGAGTCTGGGCAGGTCTACTTTGGGATCATTGCCCTGTGAGGGAGAAGGATGACCATCCCAATCCAACTTAATCCCTTTATCAGCTTCTCCATCAGACCTCTTCATCCCTTCTGGTTTAAAAAGGGAATGAGGGGCTCAAGGCTGGGCCCTGAAATTAGAACTATAAACAACACTTAGAAACCTAGGATGCACAGATATGTGGCCTGGACAATGGTACACTGGCCATCACCAAGCTCTCAAACTAGGGCTTCCAGAAGGCAACAGGGGCCTCAGGTTTGGATCCCTGAATGCAACCTAGGTCACCTGGAATGTGGGAGCCAAGGAAACTTTAATTCTGGCCAGAACACTTCAGAACATCCCTTAAGAAGATCTTACCTACAAATTGACATGTGTGGACCTCAGGCCTCCATTGCTTCAAATGTTTCCAGAAGCTTCCCTCCCCCATAGGAAGGGAAGCCCAGTCCCTCCCCTATGGGGCCAGGTCCCTCTATTTATGTTTGCACTTGTGATTATTTATTATTTATTTATTATTTATTTATTTACTGATGAAAGTTATTTATTCAGGATGTTGGTTGTCCCGGGAGACCCAACACAGGAGCTGCCTTGGCTCAGACATGTTTTCTGTGAAAATGGAGCTGAACTTTAGGCTGTTCCCACCTGGCCTCCCGGCCTCTGTACCTCCTTTTGCTTATGTTTTTAAAAAATATTTATCTGATCAAGCTGTTTAAATAATGTTGATTTGGTGACTGACTGTCGCTATATCGCAGAACCTCTGCTCCCCAGGGGAGTTGTGTCTGTAACCGCCCTACTGGTCAGTGGCGAAATAAAGTATGCTTAGAAAAGAAACATGGTTTCTTTCTTGAAATTAACTCCGCACTGAGGGTGGGAGGCTGGTCCCTGAAGTCCTCCCTCCACAGGGTTTGAGATCCTTGGACCCAGTTTTAACTCCTTGGACTGATGGGGTTCAGCAGACCGTATGTAAAACAAAGCTCAGCCAGCTATGCTCTGCCCCCAGGAAACCGAAGCCCGAACCTAATTACCTCTCCCTCAGGGTGTGGGAATTTCCAACACTGGGAATTCCAATCTAGTGGGGAAGTCCTGAAGCTCAGGTGCTCAGCTGAGATTTCCGGCTGTTGCCTGTGAGAGAAAATCTGGGAGGAGCCTTATTCTCTGGCTCCGGAATCACAGCCAAGGGACTTCCAGACATTCAAGAATCTGGACTCCAAATCACCTCTGGGGGCCCTCTGGCCAACCCTGGCCTAACTGTGCAACCTGAACCAGTCACTAAACCTCATCTATCAGATGGAGAAAAGAATGCCCACCACCTTATCAGGCCAGGAAAGAATAGAAGAAATAAGCCACCTCAAGGCACCTAGCATAGCACTTGACATGGTAGGCATTCAGTGAATTCTGGCTGTTTTCCTTTATTCAGCCCCCAGCCATTCTATCCCTGTCCATCTCTCAGCAGGTGGAATTGACGAGAGAGAAGAAAATAAAAAACTAGGAATAAGATGCGGATGAAGGGGTCCGTATGCCAGGTGGTCCCACTGATTTTCTTGGCAATTGATAAGGGGAGGGATGTGAGGTGGGTGAGCTGCAAAAAGAAAAGCACCTTCTACCCCCAGGAGGCTCTTCTGGGCACAGTCACAAACAAATATGAAGTCAGAAACAGAGGCCCAGAGAATGTGAGCCCACACTGGGCTCAGAAGTTGGGCTCTCTCCTCTGTCACTGAGGAATAGCATGAAGGAATAAGATGGAGTCACTATAGTCAAGCCCCCAAAATTACTAAAATCAAGTAGGTTGAGTCCTGAGGAAACAATTCTATTCTTGTTTTAACTAGGCTTGAGAACTTAAACTTTTGAACTTTCCTGTGTCAATGCTTAGACGTACATCAAACCTTCTGCCTGATAAAACTCTGATCACCTCCTGAAGGACTAAGGAAAGAATGTTCATGTATCGAGACCACCTGACATCCAGTATCCAGATCACTGGTCATCTAGAGATTTACCACCTTGGACCAATCCAGAGGCTGAAAATGCAGAACTGATTCTTCTCAAGGATGTACTATTTACTATAAGAACCCTCAGCTTTTCTTTCTTCCTCAGAACACTCTGCATATTGTCTAGTGGTGTTCCCCGCCGCCCCAGTTTGCAAACTCTAAGACCTTTGAATAAATCTTTATCATTTACTACTAGCCAAAGCCTTCTGATGCTCACTCAACATCATGGTGGCAGCAGCGTGATCCAAAAATCACTCTGCTTTAATCCCAGGGCCACCACTGGATTTGAACAAGGTACCTGTTTGAGCCCTTTGTGCTCTGGCATCTCCATGACAGTTCTGGGATTCCAGTGGTGAGTTCTCTCAGTTCCGAACCTCCTTTCTTCAGTTGAGGTTCAGAGCTTATATTCTTCAGTCCTCTGGGACCAGTTTTTGCAATGGGATGTTGTCTGTCTAAATCTGCTACAGAAGGACAATCCCACCTGAAGCACCAGATATGTTCAAAACTGATGGTTTATTCTCTATAATTATTATTATTACCCAAATGGACCTCATATACAAAGGATAACTTAGAACTCCAGTGGCTACTTTACTTATTTATTTTTAAAGATTTTACTTATTTATTTTTAGCGAGAGGGGAACAGAGAGAGGAAGAGAGGGAGAGAAACACTGATTGGCTGCCTCTTGCATGCCCCCAACTGGGGACCTGGTCCACAACCCAGAAACGTGCCCTGACTGGGAATTGAACCAGCCAACTTTTGGCTCGCAGGCCGGCACTCAATCCACTGAGCCACACCAGCCAGGGCTTCAGTGGCCGCTTCGAAAATTTTCTTAAATTGATTGACTGATTGGTTGATGAGAGAAATAGAAAGAGAAACATGGATTTGTTATTCCACTTATTGATGCATTCATTAGTTGATTCTTGTATGTGCCCTGACTGGGGATCAAACCTGAAAATTTGGCATAGCAGGAGGATGATTTAACCATCTGAGCTACCCTGACAAGGATAGGAATCTTTTGAAATTTCAAAATTAGTGACTTTGCATGCACAATTGGAAAACCTTAGAAATGTTAAACAAGCTGAATTTAAAGTTTTTAATTGGTATTTAAAAGATTCTAAGAAATTAAATGATTCAAAGATAGCCTGAACATCTCTTTTGTCTTTTTGTCTAATTAAAATCTTTCAGGAGAATTTATCTTTAGCATGGGACCCTCTAAAAAGTTTCAAAAGTTACTTCCTCAGGAATTTTAACTGGTTATATATATAAAATTATATATAATTTATAACATAAATATATATAATCTATTATATAGTATTATATATAATTATTATATATATAAACATTTTGTCTCTCCTCTTGTGCCTTTTGACACAAACGATACCAACTTAACCAAAATAATTTAAAACTCTAATAGCCATTAAGAGAAAACTTTTTTTAAGTCCACCTCAAGGGCCTTCCCTTAAAGAGAAAAATTCCAAACCTCTTGGGGATATTGGAATGCATTCTTTGATTGAGGTGCAGAAGCTTCTAAAAGATAAATTGATTTTAAAAACAGCCCTAAAAGGATCCTAAAACAAACTCTGCCCATTTGAGCAGATGCTTTAAAATTTTTTACTGTTTCTCCCTGCTGGAACCCGATATTTCAAATAATTTAATAACTCTCTGATTAGAAATTTGGCAAAGTTGGAAGCAAAAGATTCAAAGTTTGATCGGAAAGTTTTTAAAAGCCTCCTTCCCTAAAAAAAATAAAACTATGTATCCACAGGGAAAGAAGCAAATTAGGAATGATGTAGTTGAACGAGCAGCTCAACCTATGAAGCCATGTAAGTTAAAACCCAGTTTTGGGGAAATTGAGAGCAACTGGCCATATCTTACAAATCTTTGTGAAGCCAGAAATGCAGCTCTAGAAGCAGGTTAAGTCTACCTATCTTTACCATCCTCGATTCCTAAGGCTGAAAGAAAAAAAAAAAGGACAAACAAGGTTTTTCTTTTAAGCACAAACTGCTGCTCTGATTTCAAGGCTCCTTGCCAAGGACAAAATCTTAATTGCTTTATCTCCAAATATTAATAAGAAAAGGCCTTCGCCATCTAAAAAATTAACTTAACTTATAAATTAGTGGGGTTTTGCCTTATTGTACTGACTTATGGCTGAAATTTTGAAAACAAAACTATTAGGTCTTTGTTTGCGTGTCTTTATGTTCATGTATATTGTGTGGTATTTTCTTTTTTTTTTTTTTAATTTATTTTTTTCAAATACATTTGTCTCTGCCTACCCCCACCACTTTCCCTTGCCCCCTCCCTCCTTCCCTCCCTCAGCTCTTCCCCTTTGGTTTTGTCCATGAGTCCTTGCTATATGTTCCTTGACTTTCCCCTTCCCTTCCTTTTCCCCACCCCCCCTCCCTCCTTCCCTCTTGTCTCTGTTGATTTCTTTTCCTTTCAGTGTTGCTGGTCATATTTTCCTTGCATCTTTGTATTGTTGGTTAGGTTCCACTTATAGGTGAGATCATATGGTATTTTTCTTTCGCCCCCTGGCTTATTTCGCTTAGCATAATGCTCTCCAGTTCCATCCATGCTGTCGCAAAGTTTAGTACTTCTTTTTTTCTTTCTGCTGCGTAGTATTCCATTGTGTATATGTACCATAACTTTTTGATCCAATCATCTGCTGATGGGCATTTAGGTTGCTTCCAACACTTGGCTATTGTAACTTGTGCTGCTATGAACATTGGGGTGCATAGGTTCGTTTGAATTGGCGTTTTGGGATTCTTAGGGTATAGTCCCAGCAGGGGAATCACTGGATCAAAAGGCAGTTCCATTTTCAGCTTTTTGAGGAAATTCCACACTGCTTTCCTGTGTGGTATTTTCTATCTCTGGATCATACTGCTAATTTGGATAAGAGTTGTGTTTACCTAGCTTAAAGAAATCAAATGCTTACATAAAATTTCTCAAAATATAAAACTAACCCAGCCTTGACCAGCATGGCTCAGTTGGTTGAGTGCTGTCCCACAAAGCAAAAGGTTGTTATAGGCTTTGATCCCCAG